CTACTAAGTAGTACCGAAAAATTTCGGTGCATTTTTCGGTAAAAATTGTCGGCACCGAAGTTACCGAAAATAAAACACCACTGAAAATTTCCGCTTTTACAGTACATCATTTTGGGTATCATGATCTCGTGTTGTTTCCTTGGGTGCTACGACTCCCTGACATGCATTGATCCATGGCACGGTATGATTTGGGCGATTTCAGCCAATCAGTAGACGTTCTGAGAGGGGTATATTCAACGATACACCCCGCTCAGTTCACATGGGTCGCGCCAAGAGTGAATATTGGAAGGAGTCTTGGGAAAGTGCCCTGGGAGAAATGGATTGCACCATTCTATACATGTACTGCATTCCCCATAATTTCCTCGTGCTATATCCTCGGGAAAATATTTAACGTATACCCTTCACATACTCATAGAATAATCCAAACGTATCTGCAGTCAACCACGGGTATAACAACCCACGGATAGTGAGACTATCTTCAGACCTAGTAACAATATAGCCGTATATTTTCAACCCCGTGAATGACGCCAGCTCCCAAATAGCAACACTTTTCTCATGCCCGATCAAGGGTCGTTCGTTACTGGCAAAGTTAGCTGGACATCTTGTCATGTAGTCATTATTACTTCAAGCAGGGACAATGAAATACACCCCGCCCCCTTTCCTGCAGAGGGAACAGTGCTGTGTCCAGGTTCGCATGCAGCATGGAGGTGCTACTGCTAGTAAGTCACTGGCCTATTTTCTCTTGTGGATCGATGTACAGTGCGTGACAATGCTTCCATAACGTTAGCGGTGGTGGTGGTGGTGGTGGTGGTGGCGGGAGCATACTGCACTGCAGGGCATTACAGCACTGGCGTACTATTATTTTCTCTTGCAGACGTGCTGTGCACGACAATGCTTCTATAGTGATGGACTGATGGTCACGGTGATGGTAGTGGTGGTGGTGTGGTGGTGGTGTGGTGGTGGTGGTGGTGGTGTGGTGGTGGTGGTGGTCACAGTGGTGGTGGTGGTGGTGGTGGTGGTGGTGGTGGTGGTGCTGCTGCTGCTGCTGCTGCTGCTGGTAGTGGTGGCGGCGGTGGTAGTTGCGGTGGTGGAAGCATTCTGCACTGCAGGGCATTAAAGCAAGCTCGATTGTGCATGCATGGTGGCGGTGGGAAAGAGGAGCCAAGGAAAGTGTGTACATATTTTTGTTGAAAGCACGAGAATTCAAAGAAAGCTGGCTGCTTCCTCTATTTCCATGATCGGCCAGTGCCTACAGCACGAACAGTACATTGTAATACATGTATGTGCATAGACAGACAAATAAACACTAACCTGAGCATGGGTACCGCTTGTATTCGTGGTCAGGAAAGTGAAAGTACGAACGAAGGAGAAGAAGATTGTTGACCATGGCGAACAACTGCATATCCAGAGGGCACACGGCTTGCCAGAATGGGTCGGCTACATCTTCGCTAATTTTCTATCCTAACAACATTCAGCTTCGAGGTCAAGGACGACGGCATTTTTGGAAGGAAATTTCGAATTTTGGAGAAGAAGCTTGCTTTCGGAAAAATGTTCCTTTCACGCAAGGCAGCATGCCAGGTCAGGCGTGTGAACCAGGTGAACTGTGTCGGCAGATCCACGTTTACGTTCCAGGCCGACAGTTTTTTGACCAAGCCGTGAATCGCCCTCGCTCTGACTCGCCCGGCTACGAAGGAGTAATTTTACAACTCTTCAGGCCAGCTACAGGTCTCTGATGCAGAGCTGCAAGTGACGGATATCGGTCATTTGCAGCCACTACTAATAGTACTAAGAGCCTCCTGGTCGTTGCAATCTGATACATAATATACCTCCAGCTGAGACTGTTCAACATTTTCTTCAGACTTCGTAGCTCACACTTCCTGTGAATCCACACATTATTAGGGAGGTTTCGCTCTACGTAATTACGTATGAAAATCCGTATGTCGTACGCGCCGGGGAGCGAGGGCAGCTTTCATACGTAAATCTCTCTACGGATTTCCGTAGGAAAGCTCTTTCCTACGTTGGGTCCTCCGTAGGACTTTTTGAAATATTTTTCGCATTTTCCGCATTTGTCCATGGCAACGTTCAAGCCGCGCGAAACACAACGTACACACACCGTACACCACGTGCAAAATAAGATGGAAAACGCTGTTTCGGTTCATGGTGCATGCGGTGGGCGCATGCAGCCAACGCGTCTCCAAAGCAACAACGCATGTTTAGCAGTCGTGGATAAATCACGTAGAGCGAAACCCAGCAGCTCTGATTTTTACGTATGAAAATTCCGTGCAGTTCCTACGTTATTTTCATACGTAATTCCGTAGAGCGAAACCTCCCTATTATTATTATTATTACCGTAAAGTACCGCCAGAGCGCCCCACCATCTCGTCCTTTCGTGGCCGCCTTGTGGAGGTGGATTCCTGTCTGTAGGTCATACGACACGGACCTTGTACAAACATTGCACATTGTGCAGTCAATCCGTACCCAGTTTACCTTCGAGCTTCACATAAAAGCATACCAAGTGTGACCTTAGTACACGAAGGTTCTCACATCGTACAAACTTAGTAGCATTCTGCCATACGATTTTCTTCCCTTGGCTGTGAAATCAAGGTGGGGCGCTCTCGCGAGACGGGGCGCTCTGGCGGTACTTTACGGTATTATTATTATTATTATTTGAAACTCGGGTATTGAGCCAATAATAAAAGTAGAAAGGAAAAGGACATATGGAAACGAGTTAAGAGTAACTCTCCACCACCTAGGTGTCAGGACGTCGAATGTCTCAGTACTCTGTCAGTTTTGTGCCTAGTTGTTGCACTTTCTGACTGTATTATAGTATCTAGTTACAGTGGTGGAGAGTTACTCTTAACTCGTTTCCATATGTCCTTTTCCTTTCTACTTTTATTATTATTATTATTATTATTTTAAATTTTGAATAGGGCAATCCCCACAGGCCTAAGGCCTTTTTACAGGGTACCCTATGTGGTCACGTACAGATTTGCGGAATAGTGAAAGCGAGGAGCAAGAGCGAATGTCAGCTGGAAGAGAATTCCAGCGGTCAGAAGCCAGAAAGCTCAAAGCGAATAAGCCATAACGAGTGCGTGCTTAAGCAAGTGAATCTATGGACTGGGAACGTGTACGGGCAGCTGTGTGTGTTATGGCAGAACGAAGGCAGAAGCAATCAGAGAGCGGCAGAGTGCTACACATGCCATCAAGAGTACATAACCCTATTTGTTATGTACTCTTGATGCCATCAAGAGTACATAACCCCAGGTATGTACTCTCGATGCCATGTAGGGCCCGAAAGACAAGAATATACAGTTTAAGCTGATAGCGCAGTGCAATAGGAGCAAGGCCATATCTGTTGCATTTCGAACACTGCGCTTCCCATGATAACTCACAGAATGGCTAGCACGACTTGAGTTGAATTTTAGCAACAGTATGATTACTGAGATCTCATGTCACTTATTGTATTTAGGGATAGTTCAGAAGCGTGACAGACGAACTATTCTATCATTTCCTGGGGCTATTATTTGAATGCCACAACTTTCAGAGCTAATTTTTTGGTCTTCATGAAAAACTGGTACAGTATTGTGAACTTGATTCCGCTTCTTTCAAGGAGCTGAAATAATTGAAAAGAAGTCCCGAAAAAAGAGAAATTTGGCCCGAAAGTCACCCCGTTATGGACCGTGCCTTATGACTCGCGCCGTTCGACGTTGAAAGTCGCAACGACTGCTGCATGTCGTGTCGTACGAATCGTACAGGATTTACAGCTCACCCCAGCCCTCCAGCCCTCCCGACAAGCCCTTGATTTTACAGAAGGAAAATCGTATGGCAGAGTGCAACGAAGTTTGTACGATGTGAGACTCTTACATACTACAAGGTCACGCTTGGCAGGGTTTTGTGTGGAGCTTGTGTCCGCTCGAAGGTACGGATTGACTGCAAAACGTGCAATATGTGTGTAGCTTGCAAGGTTCATGTCGTATGACCTACAGACAGCAGACCACCTCCACAATACGACCACGAAAGGATGAGACGGTGGGGCGCTCTGGCGGTACTTTACGGTATTACACACTCATGGCCAAGGCCAATCAAGGAGGAGGTGAGGGCGATTATAGCCAGCCATGGCAAAAGAAAGAAAGAAAAAGAAGAAAGAAAAACAAGTGCAAATCAGAACAACAACAATAAAAGAAGAGATTGGGCTGCTAATCAAGTTGTATCAGGTTTAAACGTTTACGGGAAATGGTCCGAGAGATCACGAACAAAGGCAGAAATGTTTTCACATGATTGCATTTTTTGGGGAAGCGAGTCCCATAGCTAATGAAAACAGGCGAGCGACTCATTGAGTTATTTCTTAAGCGCATTTTGAATATGCATTGGGGCCTTCAGCAGTTTAATCTGATGGATAAATCTACAGCAGAGTCTGTTAATTATGGTTTGTAAAGGACAGGTTTTGCATTGGGAATACAGAATTGTTAATGGGGTGTGGTGTGAACTTCTTTCGCAAGGCCGGTGGCAGCCGGAAACGTTTTAGAACGAGGTTTCCCGTAACAGCTAAACAGGCCGAGCAAAAGGGAGTCGCAATACCCAAACAGGTTTGGGTATGTGACTCCTTTACTCTGTACTAGTAATAGTATACTACTGGTGCAGCGGCACGAATACATTTCAGAGAAAATTAGGTTCTCGCATCCATATTCGGACATGGGCGTCCTGTCAGGGATCTCCATCTCCACCATCCTGGTTCACCCACCAACTTCTGCAACCGTTTGAAGCAGATATGCGTACCCAACGGTCTACGCATTTTGCGGATGCCCAAACAAAAAGTGACTTCAAGTCAAGCGTACACGAAGAGGTACAACAGTCGATCGGTACGCCTCCAGCCCACGTCGCTTTGCGAGCGCACTTGTACGAGGATGGCGATCCACAGCCGCAATCTGTCCCATCCGATCCGATGGCGTTGTGCCTGCTGTGGCGAGGATCAGTGGAGTCGTACAGTGGAGCTCGGCGAAGTCAGCACCACCGCTTTTCTGGTTTCGGAGCTGAAGTCTGTGTGAAGCCGGGTCTCTGCTTTTGCAAGTCTTCGTGCTGTGCTTGGCCGGCAGTGTGTGAGGGAGAAACGAATTCTGACGATATCCCGCCCTTGCTAGTACAGTGTTTTTGTGAAGGACTGCTTTCCTGAGTGGAATCGGCACCCCTCTGGAACGGACGAGTGCTCACAGCCTCCGTCCTCAACTGTATGTTGTTGCTGCTGTGTTGGACGTGAGGTTATCCCTGGGGGACCTTCGGCAGCCAGAGCAAAATGCCCGCAACAGGAAGTGGCGAGGGTGGCGATGGCGACTCCAAGGCAAAACCCACCTATAGCACTAGGTAGGTGTTCTTGTCAATGCAAACCCAGAGAGGGATGGAGATAGGGGTGTGGGTCTGGAACAAACAACTCAGTGAGCCTCATGTCTATGCTGGTCCGTGTGCCCTCTGCTCCACAGAGTGTTCAAGAAGGCCGCGCCCAATAACAAGGTATGCAGTTCGATTTCAACTGTCGATTTTGATTGTTTCTAGGATCTCATTACAATGGCTACTTACTCTATGGCTAGCCAGGCAGGCTGGCAAGTTACCGGATCTGCCGCCCACACTTGCAGCAGAAAAATACCCTCTGCGAAGTCATGATTGTGTTTATTCTGTGTATTTTTAGTCCTGTGTTTGCTGATAATAGCATTGCAGAATTTTCTCATAAACGGGGCTCACAACTGGTCCTGTTTGCTGTGAAAGCTTCGAAAGGCATGCTTGTTATGATCATGCCACCTGTTCGTGGCAAGGATCGTTTCAGTGATAACATCTTCCCAGGAAGCTTTGTGGGCTGGTGACAGTTTGCCGACAAAGCTGTCAGGATGAGATTGGGAGAGGTGTGAAATTCCTTCCGTCTTTGGTTCACAAGTGTGGGGACGAAATGAACTATCCGACGCACCGACTAAGCAGTTCATGCACAGCTTTCACAAGAGTCTCTGAAATGTCTAAGCTCGCCTCGTTATCAGAAACCGTGGTTTACAGATTTTCGTGTCGAAAACAGTTCGAAGTTTATGTTCTTCCTCATCTGACCGGTCAACGGCATGGCAAGCCATCTTCAAAGCACTGTGACAAGGCGTAGAACTACTCGGATTGTCGGAAGCTCGCGAAGTACGACGGCCTGTGGAGTCAAACGCGCAAATCAAGTAAAATTTGAATAATTCACTCAAATGTCCTCTGGTCATGCTTGGCGTGCTAACGAGTCAGTGTTGAATGCACATGTATTGTATGGCAAATACTAGGCTGGACTTTTACGGGCTGCATGTACCGGTGCTCAAGGGAACTATTACTTACTGTTGGCCTCCCCCTAGGCCCTGGCACCAAATCTGGCAGGAGGATATCTGCAATTTGGGGCACCTGTATGTAATATGTCTCATATCAATCTCTTCCTGTGTGCTCCATACATACCTTGGCACATTAGTATCAAGAGTAGATGAACAAGAGTGTGCAACTCCGGATCTCTTCTGCACAATCTGCAGATAACCCCGCCCGCGGCGGAATTTTTGTTGACGTCACCATTTTTCAGAGAACGCGCATTTTGCCGGAGAGCAGTGTGAGAGCACGTGCTGGGCACCGACCTTGTAATGTAAAGCCCGACCAAGTGCACGAGGCAAAACTTTCCAAAAGACTCGCAGCACGTGCGTCGTCGAAAAGATCACGTCAAGAAAAAATTCTGCAGCGGGCCAACCCATCCCGGAGTTGCACACTCTTGATTATCTACTCTTGCTTGTATGTAATACGTCTCATCTCTTCTTGTGTGTGACATGCAGATCACTGCATACCTTGGTCGTCGCGACTTTTTCGACACTGGAGAGAAAGTCGACGTTGTCGGTAAGCAGAAACGTGTGCACTGTGCTGTCTTTGGGGATGTCAATAAGAGTGTACTTGGAGTGCTTGGTTGACACACGTCGTGTAGTAATATACTTCCCAACCAGGTCGGACTCGTGACAACACTGGCTTTTGGATTCACGTTGGATCCGTTTTTCTAGGGATCCATACACGGTTGGGTTACGCATGCATTGGTTGTGACTGGACTGGGCCACGCGGCTGGGAGCCTACTACTGGCAGTGCAGAAAGAAAGTCCGCATACCAGCATGCACCGCAGGGGGACTACCCACACGATATCATACTTTGGTATGGTCAGAGGGGATCCAATTTGATGCAGAAGTCGTTATTTGTTTACTTCATCGCGTTCAAGCCCTCTATGACTGACACGGGGCGTAGCTCGAGTATGTATTAGGGAAGTGGGCAAGAACACACGCACGCACTCTTTGTTCAGGATGTGGAAATCCACATGTGTGGGCCACGTGGCCTAGAGATCTGAATGTGCGATGTCCATGATTCATGGCATGAAGCCAAAATCGGGTGCGGGTGCTAGGGTGTTGGAGGCAGAGTTGCATTACCTGACCACTCCTACGTTCCATGAACTGCAACACACACTGGCCTCTGCATGCCTTTCTGGGACTGAGCCAGGCTTTACTCTGAAACAGCAGTGTACACCTCCATTTACAAGCTTGCAATACACGAGAAATTTGCTGCATGAGTATTTTAGTGCGCTAACCGTGCCCCCCCCCCCCCCCCCAACAGGTGGATAAGCTATGCCCCTGTTTGAGTTGTCCAGTTATACAATGTCGTTGAAGCATTAGACCCCAAGTTGTAATTCGAATCTCCCGCTAAGACCTCGTGACAGTAATGCACATGTGAGCGTGGTACATCGTGTTAAAATGGATTTCTGTAGACCTCTTACCGGGATCTACCATATTCGGACACAACTCCCTCAGCAGTCAGCCGCTAGGCCCAGTGCAAGATGTTCAGTAATCTGGAGTCAGGACCTGAGTATATTCGTGGCATGCAAGTGCTGGTCAAATATTGTGATGACGGAACAGTAATGGGGTCTGGCCGAATGAGAGGTTGTGTAGTCAATGCATGTGCTGGAATTCCGTGATTGCAATGGATGCTGCATTGTGTGTGTGTGTGTGTGTGTGTGTGTGTGTGTGTGTGTGTCTCTCTCTCTCTCTCTCTCTCTCTCTCTCTCTCTCTCTCTCTCTCTCTCTCTCTCTCTCTCTCTCTCTCTCTCTCTCTCTCTCTCTCTCTCTCTCTCTATCTCTCTCTCTCCCTCTCTCTATCTCTCTCTCTTGCTCCCTCCAGACGGTGTTGTACTTGTCGACAGGGAGTACATGAACAGAGAAACAGGATGGAAAGGTATGACTGGTGCACTTATATGTGTGTTTATGTGGTGCCAGGGTCCACATACTTTTTTATTTTATTCTAATTCAGCCACCCATACTAGTATCCGGTATTTAATACCTTCAATAGGGGTAAACACAGTTATACAGTTGAATGCAATGATACTTAGAAGTAGGACACACTTCAGGCTCTTGAATATTTTGAAAGTTTTCACTAGTATACTTTCATGCCTTTGAAATAGAGGCAAACTCAAATGGACATGGACAGTGTGTGACCCATACACATAGAAACTTATTAAAAAGTAATGCGGAAAAGGTGCAAGTGTGTGTAAACCCAAGACGCGTGAAGTGCGATGCAACAAACACAGCAACAAGTGAGCAAAACTAACGAGTTGTTGACGACCTACCTAACGGCTTTTAAAAGCTTGAATCTAATCTGCTTCTGTTGACATAAGTTAGGTTTCTTGGTGTGAATATGAACAGCTTCTTAGGGTGCGTTTGGTTGGTACGTTCTAGAACAGGATCGAACAGCTGGTGCACATGGAGCAGCCTCATGCCAACCAAACGGTACTCCAGAAACAGAGCACATTTTTGTGGAAACATGTGCCAAACTTGGTGCGCGCGCGTGCATTCTTCAAAATGTGTATGGGTCACCATTGTCACTTTGTACGGTACAACGAGTCCAACCCAAAAGCGTATGCACGTGATCATTTGGGACCAAAATCGATGTTCCCGCCAGGTTTCACTGTGAAAAAGTGAAACTGCTCGGTCTGCTCCGGCCTCGAGGCTGGAGCAAGCAGAACATGTTCTGGCCGACCCAGAACAGGTGCAGTCCCAACCAAACGCGCTGTTCTGGTGAATCCTGTTCTAGCTCGTACCAACCAAACGCGCCCTTAAACATTCAACAACTTCACACTGCATGCACGTGACAAAATAGAAAAAAAACAATCATCTGAGTACACCGCGTGACATTCAGCATGTTCTAACAAATGGCAAGCAATGGACGAATCATTCTTCTCTTCATACTTTGATTTTGCCTGTATTTCACCTGATGATAAGGCATGAAAGTATACTAGTGAAAACTTTCAAAATGTTCAAGAGCCTGAAGTGTGTCCTACTTCTAAGTATCATTGCATTCTTGTCTGCAAGGAAACAGCTGAATCCCACGACGGCTACCTTGATGTTGGCAATGCTTTTTCTGCACCTTGTCCTTAACCACTTAATGCGGTGTAGTGAGATCATTTCTGTAGCTGATCGAGTCACCTTTCCAAGATTCCTTCAATTTCCCTTCCCTCTCCCGGGGGGGGGGGGGGGGGGGGGGGGAAGGAGGAGGAGAAGACCCACGTGACCAGCTTCTGGCAGCGAGCAAGTACAAGCGTGGGCGGGTGACTGTGTGCCATGTAGTCTCATAGTTACCTATAAGGCATATGCTTTCACCTCTGCAATTCATCCGCTGTCTAGCGACCTGTCTCCAGCTGATGTTGTTTTCTGCCTTCTTTTCCTGCCTCTGTGTTGCAGTGTTTGTGCACCTTATGGCTGCCTTCCGGTAAGCATCGAGTCAGCCAAATGCAATGGTCATCAAGTATTTATAGCTTTTAAGAAATTGTCCTGGGCATGCTCAAGTGCTGGATACCCTTTTTGAAAGATTGGATATGGATTTCTCTGCTCCAGCGATATACTGTCTACTTACACAGCTTCTGTGTGCCGGTGTGCGAAATCCCGTAGGTGTATTCGTGCCTGGTTGGGTGTTCAATGTGTGCTACGCATGTGCATTCAACCTGTATAGTCTGAAAACCAATGGAAAGCAATCACTTTTCCAGCATCATCACCTTGGATAGAGGAAATGAGTGGCTAGATCTTCTTCCGAAACATTTCGGGACATCTGTACTAGGCCCAGGCAGATTCTCCTGGTTCCTCTCCACTCAGCATACCTGGAAAACTAGGCATGCATAGACCAGGTGTATGTGCATCGCTTATTTCGTCCAGAAAATATGTACGGGTTGTGTCACAGCGACATTGTGCACACGGTGTATTTGCTGGAGATCCAATGCCTTCGTGCAGCGTGTACCTCTATCCAGACTGTCCTTTGTTGAAGCTCTTCGCCTCTGTTTCTTGTGCAATGTAGGTATGGCCGTGAAGACCTGGAATCCAGTACTGGATTAATCTATAAAAAGGATATTTATTCTGTGAGTAGTTGACATGTGCCTGACACCTCTGTCGAACGTTAGCTAGCTCATTGTTCGTAGTGATGAGTAATGGCTGACTCTCATTGATAAGAGGAAGGAGAAGTGTTAGGAGGCATGACTATCGGTCCACCAATGTAACTAGATCGTATTTTACTGTTTAACCTTAATAGCTGGCGAGACAACAAGGCACTAAAACCCGTAACATGTTGTCCTTCCCCTTATCCATGAAGGCAATTGTCTTGCCGTCCGAGTTCAAGTGTCTCGATGCTTGTTTAGTTTTCTTTTCTTTCTCTTTCCTCAGCATACTCTGGGATTGAACAATATTCTGGCTACGTTTCTGCTTTGCTCCATGCTCGTGACTGAAGAGCGGTTGTTCTTTTCACTCCTGTTTGTTTCAGAAATATTTCCAAGTGTATCCTCCCCTTGAAGAGAACAAGAAGATCACACGCCTGCAGGATCGCTTGATCAAGAAGCTTGGTGACAGTGCTTACCCCTTCTTGTTTGAGGTAGGGTACGCTATGCTTCATTCGAAATTGATGGAGGCGCACAGTCCAGTAGATAAAAAGCCTGACCGAAAGTATTCTGCCTCCGATTTGCTGCATGCCTAACTCACAGCAAATGGTTATGTTGCATATTGCACACAGCCATCAGTCTCTTTGGACACAGTTTAGCATGCCAAGGAGGAGTGAAAGTAATGATCTTTGAAGCAAGCTACCCAAGTGGGTGATGTATGCCAGGCTGCATATCACCGTTCAATGACATCCTCCTTTTTTGTAGTGTTACTTCTTCAGTCAGGATTGATCGTGCCACCGCAGTGATTCTAAACGTTTGTTCTGTTTTGGTCTGACTTTGTCCAGCTTCCCCGTCATTTAGCAGCATCCGTCAGCATCCTGCCGGCTCCGAATGAGAATGGAAAGGTAATTTACTATATTGAACTGGGACACATGAACGGCCATGTAAACATTCTTCAACCGCCTTTAAAAAAAATCAGGCATCTAAGATGTACGAGCCTGGCTCTGCGATAAATTTTAGTATGCACTGTCAGCATACGTGTACAGTAGATTGAATTTGGCCTACCGGCACCAAAGGGTTAATAACAATGTATACTTCAGAGCTGAGCTGAGCTCCTCTGCATCCTCAATCAATTGACTTAGTAAGCGCATGCAGAGTCCTCTTCAAAACGTAATCAACCTTTGGAACAATGATCTTTGATCGTGCGGGAGGAAAAGTGTTTCACATACTCACGAGTTTGAAAGTACTCACGAGTTTGAAAGTACTCATGCAGTCACATGGTTACTGTAAAGAAAGACATTTTCGCTAGAGTTTATATTTCGCTATTTTCGCGACCATCACAAATTCGCGAATATAAATCGTCGCACACTGCTCTGTACATTGACTGTAGACAGTACACAATGGTACAAGATCCAAACGAAGAGATACAATTGCAACAATTTTTCGTCATGAACGAGCGCAATTCTTGAAACGCGAAATTTGCGCGCCGCAGAAATTTATCGCTTTACAGTACTAGGTGTGAAGATAGTGTTGTTATCATGAGATTGGCTGTAGTACATTGTACAGTGTAAAACCTATGGTTGATAAATATGGTGGTAAAGACACACCTGGCAATATGGTGGTAAAGACACACCTGGCAATATGGTGGTAAAGACACACCTGGCAATATGGCGGTAAACACACGCCTGGCAATATGGCGGTAAACACACGCCTCCCCACACACGCCCTCTAGGCTGCAAAGTTCTTGCACAGAGCTCTCCTTCTCACCACCATCACAATCAGTTCGCGCCTGGCGCCTAGTCGATGCATGGTTGGCGGTATCCGGCATAGCAGGCCGGTACATCAAGTAGTCAAGTAGTAGTATTTATCAACCATAAGTACACCTGCTGTGCCGTCTTCAACTTCATTGTAAAAACCTGGTGTATTTTTAGAGTATAGACTGAGAAATGGGTTGTAGACCTCGTATTGACTAGGGCCTGCACTCTCCAGAGACTTGTGCACATTGTGCTATCCTCCGCTCCTCTCTTGTTTGTGACTGTCCATGTCGCCATGTCTCTTTTGTATCCTTGCAGCCGTGTGGCGTGGACTATCAACTCACTGCCTTTGTTGGCTTCGGCAGCGACGACAAAGTCGACAAGAAGTATGTACTGTCTTGTGTGCCGCTTTAGGAATTCTTTGCGTTCCCTTCTTGCCTTTTTCTTGGCTTGGCTAAGTGTTGAACAGTTCTTTCCTTAGTGCACTTTAAGTGACTGCTAAATGCACTGGACTTCCTCACCTCCTCTTAATCTATTCTGCTTTCTTTCTTGCATCATTTCAATAGGAATTCTGTTCGCATGGCCATCAAGAAGCTGAATCTTCTTAGTGATAATCATCGAAAGCAGCCCTCAATTGACCTGAAGAAAGACTTTGTCCTCAGCAACTACCCAGTGTGCATTGAGGCACGACTCGACAAGGAGGTCAGTGTTGCAGCATCTCTGTTGACCAGTGCATGTATGCTCATACATGTAATGCGTTGAGCTCTCCAAGTCACCATCGTAAACCGCTTACTATATGTAGCTTGTTTTTCGATTTTGACAGCATGTTACAAGGCGAGGACGCGTAGTGCTCCTGACTACAACCATAACCCGGTTGGCAGGGTCCCGGTCTTGCGACCATTTGAACCGTATTGGGAAAACCCAGGTTCGGACCCTCATTACTCTAGGGGTGTGTATGTAACATGCTGTGAAAATAGAAAAACATGTTCAACTACCCAGCAAGGCTTCTGTGTATATACTATATGTAGCTTGTAAGTCTCTGTTTGAGAGAGATTTTCAGCACAGCAGATTTTGTAGATTTTCAGTATAACCTTGCCACTCGGCCGTGTCCTGCAGTCGCATAGTATGCTGTGACTGCCCTCTTTGGTTATTACCTACCATAAGGCGGTTTGATCTAGCAGTGACCGCACAGGAACACTAGTACAAATGTACACCGCAACAATCTGTATGTGTTGAAGTGGAGAATCTGCTCTAAAACCTCCCATCGGCACTGTATTCTTTCCCAGCTCTATATCCATGGCGAGGAGATCAAGCTTTTCCTCAACATTGACAATCGGTCATCCAAGACCCTAAAGAACCTTGTCGTTGAAAGTAAGCCTACTTCACGTTTTAATACATCAAAACCCTAAGTTTTCTTTATGTAGCGACACACTATATGTGGTATGTTGTATTATGTTACTCCTTGTTTATGAGCAACTCCTGTCTGGAGTGGACCTTCTAAGCCACCTGCGGCCAGGGGCGTCTGTATTTGTCACCACTCTATCACGAGTGCTCAAAATGCATGGTGATGGGTGCAGCGATCTGTACACTCACAGGTCAAGCATCTCCTGCATGGTTGCGATAAATAGCAACAAATATGGACGACCCCCCCTTGACAGTTTTGTTCTGTGTACTTTGCACTCTTTTCACCCCGTGCAATCAAGCAGTATGCCGAAATCACGGTCGGTGGCATCGAACCCCCATTGACAGTTTTGTTCTGTGTTCTTTGCACTCTTTTCACCCCGTGCAGTCAAGCAGTATGCCGAAATCACGGTCGGTGGCATCAGCGCCGTCTACAAGTCATTGGTTGCGCAGATTGACTCAGAGTAAGTGGTGTTCTGCTCAATACAATCATCCTGGCATCGAATCTGCACAGCGCAATGTGCACTGTGCTACACTTTATACTATGCATCAAGTTTTCCCTGGGAATATGCTCCAGCCAATTTTTCCATGTGGCCGACAAGACAATAAGATACATAGTAAACAAGGTCGGCTTGTATGTGTTTGGGCCAGCATGGCTTGGCAGGTTTTCATTGAATGTGTGTCCCTCGTAGTGTGGACTGGCCTTTCTGAGGCTGTCCACCAAGCCACTGATTTTGCCTAGCAATACATGTGAGTCCCCGTCCACCCAGCTATCAGGAATCTTCTGTATGTTTTATGTTACGGTTTGTGAAGTGCTCTGCGTTCTGATCCGGTGTGCGTGTTGTTGTATGTGCCTGTGTAGGGTCGGTTTCCCCGTCAATCCCAGCAGTCATATGTCACAGACTTACTCCCTGACGCCGTCGATGGACTGCAATACACGGGTATGTGCGTCTGGACATATTATCCTCATTTAAAGAGAATCTCAATGAGGGAGGACCATTCCTGGAAATCAGTTGAGGAGATTAATGCCCTTTCTTTTTTTCTTCGCTTATTTCTAATACGCAATTGACTCGGGTTCTCGTTTGCTGCCTGTGTGTTCCTGCAGCAAGAGACTAAGCGTGGCTGTGCCCTCGATGGTCAGTACAAGGTTGGCGAATCGAACTTGGCTGCATCATCCGTGTAAGTCTCTCTCTCTCTCTCTCTCTCTCTCTCTCTCTCTCTCTCTCTCTCAGAGCCCCTGCCGTTCTTCGAGTTGTCTTGAGTTATATTTCTCCATATAAGACAAGGTCCATGGTCTGCATGTGCGCATGTGGGTGTATGTGTTGCTGAATGTATTTGCAGGATGAGTGAATGTCCCACTCCAGAAATGAAAGAAGCACAGGCCATCGTGGTACAGTACAAACTCAAGGCTAAGCTGACCGTTGTCAGAGGAACGTGAGTAGTTTTGTATTTTATTTGTATTTATGGGTTCTCCACAGGCCTTAGCAGGCTGGCGGCGGCATGTTTTGAGTACAAGGCTCGTACTAGTAAAACGTTTTTGCCGTTTACACGAGAACGAAACGGAACGAAAACGATTGAAAAACACTTTGAGGCCGTTTTTCGTTTGAAACGTTTTTGAAACGTTTTTCAGCGTTGTCGTGTAAACGCTCTTATCAAAATCTGTGGAAGCGTATTCTTTTGAAAACGTTTTTCAATCGTTGTCGTGTAAACGAGGCCTAAATCGAGGGAGTCTCCACAGTTGCACTCTTTATATTACCAAGAGTACATAACCCCCAAGAGTGTGCAACTGCCTGCACAACCTCTATGCTGTGCTGCGATGGCAGAACTTCACATCGCGTGACATGGTTCAAAAGGTTATGCTGGCAAACAGTGCAAAGTGACCACAAGAGAGTTGTACCCAAAGCTGGGCTGCGTACAACCCTGTATTTATCATGCACAGAGTGCAAATAATGTGTACGGGTTCATCACTGATGTGAAGTTCTGCCGTCGCAGACCCCATAGCTGGAGTTGCACACTCTTGGGGGTTATGTACTCTTGATATTACCAAGAGTACATAAACCAGAGTGTGCAACTCGGGATGGTTCCTGTGGGAGCGTAATTCGTGCACTACGTCATTTCTGACGGCATGGTAAGCCACAGGTACGGTGAAAAGTTGCGTAACCAGTCGCGGTGGTGCAGTTCACTGAGTTTGTCCTGATTTCGGTTTTTTGAGACGGATAGCCTGGTGACTTTACTTGTCGGTGGATGTACACAGTCACACAAAACACCGAAGTCCTGAAACAGGACGTCTAAAATCAAGCAAACTTGGCTGATTTCCGGGCTATGAAACATGAAAGTTCGGCTGTACGCAAGTCGCGGCTTGGCTGATCTCATCAGGGTGACGTAGTGCACGAACTGCGCTGTTTCAGATCTGATATGCACAGTTGCACACTCTGGTTTATGTACTCTTGATATTACTGGTATTGTTGTCGCGCATGTACAATGTTGGCCGACTGATCACGCCCCCAATCCCAAATAACGAGGTTCGTTTCAGGGATGACAAAACCCTTTTGCGACGACCTCCTAAAATAGGTTCTGTTTGACATCATGCCTGGGTCATGAGTCTACGCCATCGTGTGTTCATGTGCCTGGGTCAGAAGAAGTCTGCAGTATCATGTGTTTCTAGTTCTATTTTCTGTGCAAGGAAGAGAATCTCTATAGATGTTGGGACTGTTGAAAAGAGGGTTGCAAACTGCCCATAGATAGGTGCAAAGTGTCACATCACCTGGATAACCTCTATAGATGGATTTCGGTAAACATCGTTAGAACGACGTCAATCCCGTTGCCTAGGAGCTGTCCAATCAGCGACTTTCCCGTCAAGGACCTTTTACCTCATTGCTAGTAGTGCAAATCTGCCCATGAAGGGTGTGCGCCGTCCAAAAAACCTGTTAACATGTTATGGATTTTTATACACTCCGGATGTCTAATTGGCTTGAGGTGTCTTCCAAATATAGGAGGAAAAGTCTCTCCCCCCCCCCCCTTAGTCTTTTGATGATAGTGATGTGAAATCCATGTACAGAGTTTAGGTGACTCTGTGAATTGTATGCTCTTGGTTGTAATCACCCGCGTACTATCCTCATCCAATCTCCTTCTTGTGTTGGTCCTGTGCTCAGTGATATCAAGTTTGACCTGCCATTCCGCCTCGCACACAACCGTCCCACTGAGCCCGTGTTCGTACGGAAGAGTGGCGAGGGTGCCACACCGCAGTACGTCAGCGTCAACCAGACCGAGGCTGCTAACCTGATGTCCACTATGAGCGAGTACACCTCACTCAAGAAGCCCACTGCCGCCAGCTCTTCAAGCACCAATGTAGCGTCGTCTGATGTCTACGCTCAGCCAAAAAAATTGAATGCCGAGAAGAAGGGCTCAGCTGGTGGTAAGTTTCCATCTATAGTCTCTGCCCCTGCTATCAAGACTGAAGTGAGGCTGCATCTAGTTATAAACTTTTACATTTACCTCCCTGCAAAACGAACTCCACATGATGCATTTTGTATAAAGCATGTGCTTTCCGCACGCATGCTTTGTACAAATCATGAATTCTGAGAAGGTGACGTCAACAACCCATTCCGCAATGGACCCGATCAGCTGCGGAGTTGCACACTTTTGTTGATCTACTCTGGCTTGTGTCTATTCAAGACTTCTGCAGAAAAGGTCTCTGAAAATCTGCACGGGTTTGGCAGTACATTACAGGTTTGGATGTGACAAGAAACCACCTCTCTCTCTCTCTCTCTCTCTCTCTCTCTCTCTCTCTCTCTCTCTCTCTCTCTCTCTCTCTCTCTCTCTCTCTCTCTCTCTCACTCTCTTCCTCCTCCTCCTCCTCCCCTACCTCTCTCTCTCTTCCTCTGTGTGTGTTTTGCCTGCGCAGGTCGTATCTCTGCACCGCCTTCCGCTACGTCAGCAGTGACTGTGAAGCGTCCAACATCCCAACCCTCCGCTGTGCAGCCACAGCAGCAGCAGCAACAACAACAGCCTGCTGTCGCTAACGACCTCATCGACCTCATGTAGGTGTTGCTGCTGTTGCTAGTAGAGTTAAGACAGTACATGTCCACGTGCTCAATGTGTATGTTAACACGCCAGTATCAATATGGGGTATGCCAGTTCATACTGAATTGGGCGAATAATTCTTAGGCGGCAGGGTGCGTTGAGCAGCTCGGTAAGATCGTGTAGCTGGGGGGGGATATTATAGTATTTTTACTTCATCAAGCAAACAGGCATGATGTATTCTCACTGGCCAGGTGCTGGCTCTTAACAAAAGGTCGGGATAATCGATCGTTTGGCTAATCATTGTATAGGTAGTTGAACAACAAGGGCAAGCAAGGCTTGTTAGTCGCTACTCAGAGTTTCATGCTTTCGCAATCATCAGGCAAGGATTGGGTACTGGCCATGCCGGTATATATGCCAGGAGAGGGTGGGTCTTGTAGCGCTGTGTGGAAAGCTGTGTGTGAATGTGGGGCGGTGTAGGTTTCAGGGCTAGCGGTGTTATTTTGGGCAGGAGGCTGTGTCCAGAGGGTGTGGTAGGTAGTCGATGTGACAAAGACATCCGATCCTCTTTATTTCACATGTTTGTGGACCAAGGTACTGATGGCACACAGCTCTCCAACTACATGTACCGTTCTTTATGGATGCATTTTAGCGCAAAGGTTTGTGGACTGGTCATGATAGTCTACAAAACAACAATCTGCACAACTGGCTCATGCTGCATGCAGTATTGTATTTGTTTGTACGGGCATGAAAGTGTGATCTACATACTGCAGGGCCGGTTTGAGCAGAATTTGTTTGTGTAAAGTGCGGCTCTAAGCCTGGCGAAGATTGTTGGCTTTATGGTTTTGGTTTTTTGGTCAAGATGGCTAACGTTGTGTTCCAGTGTGTTAGTAAGTCTGTCAAATCGCTGTGAAGTTGCCCCAAAACACTCTAATGTACTTCTCCTGCGAAGTACATGCTAATGTGCTTCTCCTGCGAAGTACATGTCCAGCGCGACGCCATGCTTGGCTCTGTATGCATGTCTGTGTCGTCACCACAGGCCTCCAGTCGCCGTAGGGGGGAGAAGTAGCAATTAAATATTTGATACTGCACACGTATTTGTAATCAGGAGCCAGAGTAAAGATGGAAGATGTCTAGTGATAGCTCCCTTCCGTGAGAAACAGTCAGTACATGTATCTCATTTTCCTTTTGTATATTTTTGCGTCTCTGTTCTGTAATTTTGCCTGCAGGATGTTTGATCCAACGAAATCTGCCGCCGCCGCTCCTGAAGCCACTGATTACGCTAACGTCACACTGGATCCGCTGTTTGGACGTGGTGCACCCGCTGCTCAAGCAGCTCCTGCTGCTCAGCAAATGGCTCAGCAAGCACCCGTGCAGAACTTCATGCAACAGCAGCCGCAACAGCAGGCTTTCGGCCAACCCCAGCAGCAGTTCATGGCACAGCAACAGCAACAGCCCTTCGGTCAACCAGCAGCGCAGGCATTCATGCAGCCTGCTGTCAATCCCTTTGGCGCCCAGCAGCAGCCGCAGCAGCAGATGTTCATGCCAATGCAGCAGCAAGTTGCCGGTATGCAGCAGCCAGTTGCTGGTATGCAGCAGCCAGTTGCTGGTATGCAGCAGCCAGCTATGTTTGGTGCTCAACAACCTTTGCAGCAACAGATGTCTTCTTCGAATCCCTTCGCCATGCAACAGCCGCAGCAGCAGCAGCAACCATTCATGGGCCAGCAAAACTTTATGGGAATGGCCCAGCCTCAGCAACAACAGCAACCGCAGCAGTTTGGTGCCGGTTTTGGTGCATTTGGCGCCCAACCGAATATGATGCAGCAACAGCAAAAACCCAAAGCAGCTGGCAACGATGACGACTTCTTCGAGGAGTTTGTGAATATGAGAATGGACGGAAGTGAGGCGTAGAGGTTCAACTCACTTGTATATATTTTGAAATTATTTGTACTGCAGCCATGTAGATGTACCGGCACGTCACATGACAGCTACATGGTTATGTATTTTTAATTTTGATCATACATCTACAATCAACATAATCATTGTGTTGTCACATGTTATTGTGGCTTTAAGGCCGTCATGACTCATCACACTACATTATCTGACTCCCGTTTAACGTCTACGTCTACGGTAAAAAATATCCGAAACGGGTGGTCGTGTCGTCAAACTGGAACAGTTCTTGACTCGCACACGCCGTCACGTCTTTGGAGAAATTTGAAAAATGAAACGCACTGTGTCTGCTGTACAACACTGTCTACACATGGCAGTGTCGAGGTAGATCTACACATTCCCTTTTGTACTTGACGGTCAAACCCCATCTTCAAGTGTACTAGTGTTTTAGTATTGTGGTGCTACAGAGGAGCATGGTTGGTGTAAGCCAGTGAGCCAGCCCTATGTGCGGGGCTCCCTGATGTAAGCTCTGTGTACTTATAACCGTCCGCGGTCCCAGTTGCAAACACAGCGAGCTCAAGGTCGGGGCAGTGCCGGGGTCATCAGAACTGGGAGCGTAGCCCAAGGCTGTAGGCGTGTGATCCCTCTCAAATGAATGGCTTTTGAGTGACGGCACAGATTGTGCTGTGGTCAGTGTCATTGGATGATGCAAATCCCATGCATGTACGTGTACAGCGTCGGTCGGTTTTCGACCTTGGCTCAAAGTCAGAGTGCTCTATTACTGCGAGAAACACAGCGAGCTTTGTACAAGGGCACGTATACGCGAACAACCCCTTCCCCAACACACAATAAAGGCCATTGGAATTAATTTGGTATGGACTCTGGCTTCAGTAGACTTGAATGTAACCAGTTACTATGTCACACACCAGGGTTGAAGTATTCGGCCTGCCGATTGCAAGGAGAAAAGGGGGTCAAATAAGTTGAAATAATACACACATTTCCAATATTTTTCTATAACTGAAGCAGTCGTCATCATGATCAAAACAGCAAAGAATTCAGCCGGTCTACAATAAATTCAGGATATGAGACGGTTTGTAGAATTGGTCATCGCCGGCCGTGTAGCGTTGGGACAGGTGCAGTTCGGTCAGCGGGACCGAGCCGAAATCAAAGTTGGAGAAGTCCTGCGAGGCAACCACAGTAAAAGCACAGGAAACCCTATCTGTGAAAGAGCACTACAATGTGTAGGCATGCATGTCATCGTTTGTGTCTCAAAACAAGTTACTAACACATACACAACAAGTTTATACAACAAACAAACTCGTCCCGCCTGGTGCAAATAACAGCCAGAGAACGAGTTGTGTCCAGTACTGCAAACGGCACAGTGCTGCAAACGGCACAGTACTGCAAACAGCATAGTATTGCAAACGGCACAGTACTGCAAACAGCACAGTGCTGCAAACGGCACAGTGCTGCAAACATGAAAACCAGGTGCGTGAATCTGCTAGTACCCTGTAGCAGTGCACAGCCAGCTAAAGGTCCATAGGTCTGGGGACTGCAGAGCGACCAACACTAGCTGATGCATGATAACCACACTTCACTGGTCACCACTGGTGGTTATGGGAAAATAGGATACAAACAGAATACATTGTACTGTAAAAGCCATTATTCTAACGAGGCGCATATATAACGATTTCCCAAAATTTACTGGTTTACGTGTACCAAAGGTAACGATTCTCACTTATTCTCAACGCTAAATACTAAATAGGACAGTATATGTATCGATTTCTGTATAACGATTTCTATTTTAACGACAGATTTCTCCTCGTTAACTCGTTAGAGTTAGCACTTCGTTATATATAATTATGGCTTTTACAGTACATGCCTGCTTCGCGAGGGCCATTTTTTTTCCTCGCCTGGGTGCCTGAGAAGTTCCAAATTTCCACCCGATGATCATGAATCTTGAATGCAGGCCCGGTTTCATTCAAGATACATTTCGCGTCCATACAAGACGACGTCCAAAGCCGTGGTCAAAAGCACAGCATGGTTTGCTTAGCTATGAATGGGTTGAATTTCTCTGGTCACAACTGCATAAAAAACCTCTTGATTCTCATGTCGCAATTTCAAACACGCAGCAACTCCTATCATCCTATCATCCTATCATCCTATCATGCAGGAAAGCGAGCTAACAGAACCAGCCGTCACTGCACCAGCACACCACTCGACCTAAGCTAACATACCTTCAAAGCACGACTGGCATCGAATGTTTCACGTGGCTCGTGACGATGGTGTTTGCCAGGGCGTGACTTAGACGAAGCAGCAGCGGCGGCAGCAACACTGCCACCAGCCGGTGTCTCAGGTGTTCTCCTCAGCTTGGTATTGATAACAGTGGCATGCAGCTTGACACGGTCGTACTCCTTCTCCAGCACACCAACAGCGGCAAGACGATCCACCAAGAAGTCGGCCAACTCCTGAAGACTGTGGGTGCCGCCATATGCACGGGCACATGCATGAAACCACGAACACATGCACGCACGGGCACACGCATGAAACCACGAACACACGCACGCACACGCGCATGTACGCCGCACACAGAAAGAAGGCACGAACCAGTTCATAATTTACTTCCAGATACAGTAATTGCAAAGTTTGTCTCCCACATCTGCCCAAAGAGAGAGAGAGAGAGAGAGAGAGAGAGAGAGAGAGAGAGAGAGAGAGAGAGAGAAAGAGAGAGAGATGAAATAAACACAAATTAAAAGGCAGACAGACATAGGTTAGACACTGGTAGATCAAGGAGGTAGGGAGAAAGAAGAGAGACAGGATAGTTTTCAATAGATGGAAGAGAACAGCGAGGGCGTATGATCACCACAAACTCAAAAAGACCTAGGCAGCACTGACACGCTGCACACCAAACAGCTAAGTTTGCTCTTTCGGACATGACAAACCTACCGATCAGACTGGTCCTGCAGCTGCACTTTAGCATAGAGAATGTCCACTTCCGCCGGGTCATCGTTCATATACTCAACGCCCTGGATGCGTATTACAGGCGGTGAGCGAGCAGAGGGACGGCCGAGAATAGCCCTACACAGCCAGACACATGCAGACATGATCGCAACAACAGCAGCAGCAGCAGCAGCGGCATAACGAGCTGGAACTAGGATAACTACTGAGCATTGAACACTAATCAGGCTGGCATGCACAATGGGGTGCAGCCTTTATGGACCAGCCACCAAACAGTTATGACGGTTGGATTCTGAAAACATCACGGTTCGCGTGAGACTCGGAAATTAAACCGAGTTTTCCGCGTCCGTAGGAATGCCACCACCCTTAAGGGTCAAGCTATTCCAAACTCCGATACAATAAGCTACCAAAGTGCTTCGATATTTCTTTGAGATTCAACTCTGGCAGTATCAGCAAACAAACAATACTGAAATGCGCATGGACCGGTACAGTAAGCTGGCACTTCAAAGAACATTGCGGCCCGTGGGTTTAAACTGGAACATAAGTAGGCGTCACATGTTCAATATTTCCTTTCTCGCAATGCTAAACAAACCAAACACTATCTCAGATCGCTGGATTCGAAGCAGAAACAAAGAAACACTCCCGCTTGACGGGCTCAACTTACTGCATCGTGGGTAAAGATTCCTGCAGCTGATGAACTGCTTCATCCTGGATAGGGGAAAGGCAACAGTATCAATCTCAGAACGATACCAGGCATACAGGAGCTACTACCACAAGAGCAGACAGACAGAACAAGAAAGAGGCGCATGAGAGAAAATGAGAGAGAGAGAGAGACACACACACACACACACACACACACACACACACACACACACACACACACACACACACACACACACACACACACACACACACATACAGAGAGAGAGAGAGAGAGAGAGAGAGAGAGAGAGAGAGAGAGAGAGAGAGAGAGAGAGAGAGAGAGAGAGAGAGAGAGAGAGAGAGAGAGAGAGAGAGAGAGAGAGAGAGAGAGAGAGAGAGAGAGAGAGAGAGAGAGAGAGAGAGAGAGAGAGAGAGAGAGAGAGAGAGAGAGAGAGAGAGAGAGAGAGAGAGAGAGAGAGAGGGAGACAGAGAGACACACACACATACAGAGACACAGAGAGAAAGAGAGAGAGAGATAGACCCAAGGGAAGAAGTGACAAAAGACAAAGACAACATTCCAGGTGAGCGACTTACAACTTCAGCCTGTGATAGAAGCTTCAGAGTGCCGAGGGTCAAGTGGAGCTTGAGCGGGTTCTGAAAGATACTCGGGTCCACGCCACGCATCTAGGTAGTGGCAACACAGAAGGTCATGTACATGTACGCTCAAGCAATGCACGCAACACAGAAGACCATGTACATAGGCGATTATTTGTACGAGATGTGTTCAAGTTCACGCGCTAGCGCTAGTTCCAGAAGCAGTGTGCAGTACACCCGGAATGTCGATAAGGTCAAAGCGTAGAATTAGAGCAATACGTTCCAGATAAGGACACTGTAGCTTATGCTCGAGCAATGCACACAGCATACAGTCATATTGGCTGGGCTACAGTGTGGACTGTGCTGCACTATTCTGCTTCTAAGCTGGAAGTTCTCTGGAAGAGGACTATTCGGAAGAACACGACACACCGCCACGTCGTTCACACCGTGTGTTTGACTTGGTACAAAGGGCCATACCCCTCTTCTTGATGATGCATGAGATATGTGAGAAGCTTCTGCCAGCACTGCTGGTATCTCACGGCAAAAGTGCCCCAAGTGAGCTCAAGCAGCAGCCGATGAAGCATGAAGGTCTCGTAGGTGCATACATGAGGATCGCCGGTGCCGGGGATACCGGAAATGAGCTACTGGTGAAGCTGATTGCTATGTTTGTGAAGGGCAAACAGAAAGCAGTAGTAAGGCATCGCGGGCTTCAACCAGCCCAAACGTCCGTCACATTGCACACTGATTTTTCGTCAGCGACAGAAAGACAAAGAGATAAGCAGCAACGAGGGTGAGAGCAGGCAACACTTGCTTGTTGCTTGTGTATAGACGATGGACTTGCCAGCCCTTTTTCACTGGGGGGTGTTGGTGGAGCACCAGTGAAGGGCATATTCAATGCTTCCGCTCCAAGGTTGCAAAGTACACGTGATTGTGCAAGTAGATGCTGACTTCAGAGCAGAGCAGTGTACATCAAGGACAGCAAATGTCCGTTGAGCTCCACACCCCTAAGGCACGAACACATTCATCTCACCACATTTACAAATATGCGATCACGGCCAGCATTTGATGTGTTCAATGAAAGGGTCATAATTGAGATGAAAGAGTCGCAACCACGGGCCACACTTGGAGTTTGAAAATTCCTCACAGCTGTGAAGGATCTGATCACTGACTTCACATCACATGATCGCATTTCCTCACCTGACTGAAAAACTATGCAACTCTTCACATTCACAATGGAGTGGTTTTTTTAGCTGGCGGGAATAGCGTATTGAAGCCCATAATGTATGGAAGAAGACTCCAGCGCGAAATGATGCTGGTGTACAAATTGAATTGCTCTAGGCTGGTTCGGTCCCTGCCTCGATCCTTGTTTCCAATGCTGTTATGCTCAATCTAGTTGTTCTCCGCAAGAATAGCCGAGCTACATGGGATACATGCTCTACGTAATTGACGAGTTTGTTTGGTGCAGAATGGCCTTATCCAGACAAGCTGCTCAAAGGCAACATATCCAAGGCTGTGGCTAAGTTGCTGGCAGAGAGTAAGAGGATTCGATGTATTCAACGAACGGGTTGTTATGGCGATAAAAGAGTCAGAACTACGGGCCGCACTTAACTCCTCAAGGCTGTTAATGATCTGATGACTATAATTATGACTGTAGAGCTATGCAATTGTTCAAGTCTACAATGGAGTTGTTGTTCAGCTGGAGGGATGAGCGAATTCAAGCCCATAATGGCATCAAGGGAAGGGCAAGCCAAGAAATGCAATCGATTCAGCTGTTCACTGATTCAAGTATCACCTATCATGGAATTCAGCATACATATGCATAGCAAAACCTCTGTATGAACTAGGTAGAACTACTCCTCAATGAGCTACAAGCCATTGGCGTAAGCGGAGTAGCACTCCAGTGATTCGCGAGCTATCTGCAAGGTAGACAACGCGTGAGAATTGGAACGAACCGGGGAGACGCGACTCATTGTACGCGAGGCGTTCCACAAGGGTGGGTGCTGCTAGGGCCTCTACTATTCTCTCTGTATGTGTGACATGTCCCTGGAATACTTCGCCACGTACAGTCCCAACAATATGCTGGCGAGAATAGCTTTTTATATGCACTGTAAGTCTACTGGAGAACTCCAGCACAAGTTGACCAGCGATTTGAACATACTAAGTGCATACCTTGGAAGCATTCACCCTCCAGTCAGCTGCTACTTGCACGGAGAGGCGCACTAGAGGGTAGTCTTTCTCTCTCTTCACTTTCTTTGCCCGCTGCTAAAACTAGATATTGCAAGTTCTCTATTTCTTTCCTTGGCACAGCTAGGTGGAATTCTCTGCTTGCCTCGTGGCGTCAAGTTGAGCATCTATCCACTTTCGTTTCGCTCTGCGAAGAGCATTTAGGGTTCCCTGTAACAAGACGGCAACGTCCGTAGGGCCTTCCCTATCAAAATAATAAATTCTACTCAGTACATTGTATTACTAATTCTTCTATTAAAGTACCTTGGATATGACACACATCTATCTAAACACATGCATATTCCCGCATGCTTTCATCATTTTTCAATCTCTTCGGCAGTACATGTACAACAGGAAGTAGGCTCACCCCAGCTCCTCAAAATGACACTATTGTTATACGTTTCGACTCCAGCCTGTTGTAATACATCCTGTGCATCGCTTGAATGGTGCTCCGAGTGGGGAAAATTAGCAAAAAACTCATTTTTTAATTTTTTTTACCCCTCAATTCAATGCAAGCAAGCATTCGGATAACTGATCGTTCGGATAGTTGACGTTCGAATAATCGGCATTCTACTGTACTGCATTACACCAGGGTTCCAGCCAGGAAACAAAGCAGTAGGAGAGGGGAGGGGGCAGGGAAAATAAAAAGTTACCGTAACCCCTTTTTCCATTTTCCAATATTGCCTTGTCGCATAAATGAAACGCACGGGTGCAGCGTGCACCCAGAACGATCGTTTGATTTCCGTATTTCGCGTTGTGTCTCAATCTCCTTCTTCACTTCCACGGTCTTAAACTGCAATCGTCATACCGTAAAGTCGCGTATAAAAGCAGGTGCTTACGGCCGTATAAGCCGGGGTTCCAACCATGCTTCTATTCAAGTTATGCTTCTATTTAAAACATGTCTCTACGTCAACATCATCAGTGTACACTGTGCAGTGCATACTGCCACACATGTACTTGCACATGTACTTTGCAGAGCGGCTTCTATTCAAATCATGCTTCTGTGTCACGGCGCGCTTCAAAAATCGGCTTCTATTCGAGTTATGCTTCTATACAGGTCATACTTTTATACGCGACACTGCAGTTGATATCTCTCCAAATGTTCGCCCTTGGGCCTTCATCAGGGAGTACATGTATATGAATCTGAATCTAGGCCAGCTGCCGAAACACATAAGAAGGGCAACTTCCCTCATGAAGACCCAAGGGCGAAAATTTGGAGAGATATTGACAACGATTGCAGTGTATTAAAGGCCGTGGAAGTGAAGAAGGAGAGTGAGACATGATTAATTAATTGGCTGCAGTGGAGGCTCCGCCTGTTGAAGGTGCTTCGCTTTGTGACCTGAAAAAAATCGAAAAACATGAGTAGGGGTGCGCTATCTCAGAGTAGGGGGCGCTGCTCCACTCTACCCCCCCCCCCCCCCTTGGCTAGAACCCTGTTACTAGACTATGACCGGCTTTGCAACCTCGGATACCGGGTACCCCGCCTATACAGTAAAAATCCGTATGAGTTGTGAGGCGGGTATGTTCTGTGCAAGTTTCACTGAATGGGCCTTGAGTGACTGGTCCAATATTTTAGTCAGAAAGGGGGTGCAGGCAGTATACTGCGGCAAATATGGTACGACGTTACGTTTCGGGACAGAACATGTATATTTCGACTGGATAGATAATCAGAGTCGAGAGATAATATGCACGCAATAGGAGAGTACGTTCAAAAAACCAGGATCTGCATTCGTTGTGTTGCGTACAATACAATATGAATGTGATTGTAAGGCCAGCACCTACCTTGCCAGACGACTGGAGGAAAGCCTTCCTGAAGGTGTCGAAGTTCTCCACAACGGTAACGACGCCCTTGAGCGGTATGCACAACAAGTGTGTCCACTCTGCTAGCCGCCGACCCTTGACGGCCAACACGTGCAGGCGGCCACAGGCTGACGCAACATCATGTCGACTATGGCCACGGATCACTGGAACAAGCAAACACAATGACGACGATGATAACAAGTGGATGTGAACAATGGGCACTGGTAAATGAAAGGTACTACGGTGGTCCCTTTATCATCCGGCACCATTTGTGTTACGGAAATTCTGCTGGATTAGGGAGGGTGCTGGATTAGAAAATCAGATTTACTGCTGCAATGTGTGCATGAAAACGAAATTTTGGTTGCTGAAAATTATGCTGGTTTATAGCGGGTGCTGGTTTATAAAGTGCTGGATTAAAGAGGGACGACTGTACAGTAGTATGTTTTCAGGAGTTTCCGTCGAGAAAGTAGAATAATCAGTAAGAGTGATGAATATGCTACAAGCGCATTGAGCTAGCCATGGTACCTATTATAGCAAGAGTAGAATAACCCCCCCCCCCCCCCTCCAAGAGTGTGCAACTCATGATACCCTTTCTATGGGGTTCGCCGACGGCGAAAACTCACATCACGTGGTGTAGTGTCACAGTTGTACGTTTCCAGCCCGTTTTTAGCGAGCAGCGGAGTAATAAAAAAAGCACTCTCTGACAGAAACTCACTGGGCGTATGCAAATCCCCAGCATGATCCTGGCAGATATTCGGATTGTGCGCATGCTATCCTTCGTTTGTACGTAGTACGAAACACGTGATGTGAGTTTTCGCCGTCGAAGACCCCATATGCAGAGTTGCACACTCTTGGGGGGGGGGGGGGGGGTGATATACTCTTCATTATAGTATAGCCCTAAAACTACATGTCGCATGTCAACTTCAAAAATACAATGTTAGTTCAGGCCGTCCGTTTTAGAGCCATCACTTGCCTGGTGACCGTGACTACGTAAAACTCGGAGTTGCAACACAGTTCCCCCCTCGCCCCCTCTCTCTCTCTCTCTCTCTCTCTCTCTCTCTCTCTCTCTCTCTCTCTCTCTCTCTCTCTCTCTTGTGTAATTGTTATGACAGTGTAGTTCAGAAAAAATTCGAATTGAGTGTGGTTTCAAATTCTGGAGGTCCTGATGGAGAGGCCTACTGCTCACTTCCACCGCAAGGGGCGGACTGTCCATATTGACGTAGCCAAGGCCATACTGTCGGCTAAGCTTGACTTGAAAGACGTGCTGCAGATTGACTTGCAAGGGCGCCCAGGGACTTGTGTCCTCACTTTTCGAAATGTCGATGCTCGTGATGGTCTTGCAGCTGCCGGACTGAACTTGAACGGCGAGTAAGTGTCATGCCGGGAGTCAAGCCGGGAGACGGAACAAGAACTGCATGCAGAGTATACGTGTATGGTTGTGAACCGCACTTGCACGAAGGCCATATAGCCTCAGCGCTTGGAGTATTCGGGGAAGTGGTTGGGAAAATTTGAGCCAGAAACTATTTATTATGCTGAGGTCAAAATTCTCACCGGAGCTCGGCGGGTTTTGATGGTGCTGAAAAAGACAGTTCCCTGCAAGCGACGAATCGGTGAAAATGAGTACAGGGCGTACCACTGGGGTCAAAACCCAGACATGTTACCGCTGTGGTGGTGACCACCTGTGACTGTCCCAAGCGTACATCGCTGCCCGGCCAACACCGTACAGAACAGCGTGCAGAACGGCGACTAGCAGTTGACCCTGGCTGCGACCGCAGCTGCCACCGTACAAAACAGCGTGCAGAACAGCGACCAGCAGTTGACCCGGGCCGCGACCGCAGCTGCAAATCAGCAGCCTGAGGTTAGCCAGGTCACTACACCGGCCCAAGGGCTGTGCGCAGTCCACCAGCAGCAGCTGTCGCCTCAAGCGCAGCAGCAAGTGCTACAGCAGCGGAAACCTGAATTGAGGTGCAGGATTCCAGTACCCCAGGTGTCACTCAAGCAGGCGCAGGCAACACCTGTCACCCCAGATTTTCGACTAACATCCCGGGGCAAAGCAGCGCATGCGTCTCCGGACGAGGAAGGGTTCGTCCTGGCATCAGGGAAGCATACCTTCGCTCCTCGGATCCTCACCTCCATGCAGCATCCCCAGTCACCAGCTTCAGTAAACAAGATGATCCGCGACCGCAGATTGAGCTGCTAGTCATCCCAGTGTTCGTCTCAACCGTACAACCCTTTCTATGGTATTCAGTACCCATGAACTTTGCAAAACCGATAATGTGACAATGTACCATGGTGCATGCACCGATGGTACCACCACTTCGTAGACTGCCTCCCGTTCATTCTGTGCTCCTGTCTTTATTCTCGTCAGCTGTGTACTTCAGCAGTTCAATTCTGTGCTCCAGTCCTCTTTATTCTCGTGAGTTGTGTACTTGTTTTGCTGTTTGTTTGGTTTATTTGAATTCGCACAGTAAACGTGTACTTCAGCTATTCTCTCCTCCCTCTTCTGAGTTTGACTCTTCGCTGGCCTTCTCTCCTCCCATCCCCTTACACTGTATTGGGCCTCCGCAGCACCCCTCCCCCCTCCCCCCACCCCCACCACCACCCCACGCACACACTACATTGTCACATAGCACAACTCAACCATTCACTACCCTGTTATTGAGCACTCCTGCTTGTTTGGTCTCGCGACTCCAAATAAAATAAAATCAATCAGTTCCTCCCAACAACACGCCTGGACCTAGTCTTGCACAGCCAAACTTACCAATATCACCCTCAACACCTTTCTTCGGGATGTCAATGGAGGTGTTGGTTTCCTTCTCGTTGCGCCGCTTCACATCGCCTCCCCTGCCGATGAAGTGGCTGAAAAGGGCACTGGGGAAGGTAAGCGAGCTAGAGTATCGTCCATCAGGTAGTTCTTGAATCGCGATACACTCTTCGTTGTCTTCGTAGTCCTCGTCATGTACATCTACAGTCATGCAACAAAATAGATACTATAATGGTCAAAAATGCAACAACATAAGATGACAGATGCCACAGTCAAGACCTATTTTACGATGGAACCAGGGCTTGAGCTTTTACATGATGCTGTTCACTCGCACGTGCACAAGCACATGGGAACTGTCATGTCTTCGTGCTAGTTTACGTGCAGAAAACAAAACGAGAGAGCTTGGAAGCTCAGGACCGTACGCTATGCTTTTTTTGCCTAGCTCATCATGCATGTTATTAGAACTGATGGAAATGTTTTTTTTCCCCATTGACTGGCTACATCATTGTATTGCAAACACGTTTCAGTCAGTTTGAATATTAGTTTAATAATTGGCAAAAGTAAAAAAATCATTTCTCCTATTTTTTTCTCAAGACATAACCTGGGATTCGAACCCGCACTATCACCCTGTATGCATTCCCCTGATACACTTCGCATACTTCGAAGTACATACTCATTCTTCCAAGTTGCTTGACGTTATGATCTTGCATTTGAAAGCCCTATTAATTTTGAATTTTGTGGCCAGCTGTCTTTGATGGAACGTACGGGACAGGTACGGGATAGCGCCAGGCATGCCGACGGCACAAACAAACAAACAAACACGGAACGAGAGAGCTTGGAAGCTCAGGGCCCTACGCTATGCCTTTTTGCCTGGCTCATCATGCATGTTATCAGAACTGATGGACATGTTTTTTTCCATTGATTGGCTATAATGTCTTACATCAACCATGATGGCTACAATGCCCAACCATACCACAACGAACTGATCGGCTATATCATTGTATTGCAAAAGTTTCCATCTGTTCAAATAACATGCATGATGAGCTAGGCAAAAAAGCATTGCGTAGGGCCTTGAGCGAAAGAAATAAACTCTCTCTTTTTTTATTCTTTTTTTATTAGAGGGTTATACGACACCGTCTACCACCTTGATGACCTAGGCCAAAAAAGCATAGGGATGCTATAAATTTTTCATTTCTCCCATTTTTTAAGACATAACCTGGGATTCGAACCCGCACTATCGCCCTGCATGCATTCTCCGATACACTTTGCATACCGTAAAGTCTTGTATAAAGGCCGCGGCTTCTATGACTTTCTTGGTGAAATTTTGCAGGCTTCTATATGAGACAGGTTTCTATACAAGACAGGTATTTCTATGTATGTCAACACTAAAACCAGGCTTATGTGTGATTTGATGGGCCCAAATTGCGGCTTCTATTCAAGGGCGGCTTCTATTCAAGTGCGGCTTTTATACAAGACTTTACGGTACATACTCATTTTTCCAAGTTGCCTCACGTTATGGTCTTGCATTTGAAAGCCCTACTAGTATTTGAATACTGTGGCCAGCTGTCTTTGATGGTACGGTACGGGACAGGTACGGGATAGCGCCAGGGATGCCGACGGCACAAACAAACAAACACGGAATTAAAGCTGTGTGGACCGTGGCTAGCGCCAGCTGTTACTGAAGAAACGTCTTTTGCATAGCTACGGGAGTTAAAGCTGTGTGGACCCTGGCTAGCGCCAGGCGTTACTGAAGTAACACATTTTGCATAGCTACAGGACTAAATGTACAGTGAAATCTCCACGTTGCCACCACTTCGGGAGTTCAGAGAGCTTTGGAGTATCTCTGAAAATCTGGAGATGATAAATGCGCAATTCTCCAACTTTCCGAGACGATTTAAGAATGCACTCAAAGTAATCCAAATTTCTCCTCCATAAATAGGGACAACTTTCGCCCAGTTTCTGAGCTAAATATTCATCAGATCAGTATGCAGTAGGGCCAGTCAGATGTGATAGGACTACTCACCGCTTGTACGACAGTCGCAGTTGGAATTTCGACTGTGTGAGTAGCGAACGCAGCTTGCAATGCTGGACGTTGTAAATCGCATGCATGTACGTGAACAGGGGCGTACATAGGGCGGTTCCCGGGATGCCCGGGAACCAGTAAAAAAATTCCATGCGGGTACTGAGAATTTGTTGATCCAGGCCCAGCGCTCACAGTGCAAGTGCATGCCTGGCATCCGCCTGACGGTCCGATCGAGGACGGTGACTAGCCCAGGTGTGAAAGTAGTGCTGGGACACAGCGTACTGAACTGGGTTCAACAAAGTCTCTACTGTAGACTAGTGTAGTTACATGTACATCGCCGGATTCCTCGATCTCAGAGTCAAATTTTCCTTTGGAGTTTGTTTTGACAAAGTAATTAGTTGGTCGTGTTTTGACAATGCTTTCGCTTTGTGGAAAAGAAAAAATGAAGCGTCGACATCCAGAGGGCCAGCGCTCTATTCAGAGCTATTTTGAGCTGCAGACAAAGCGTGTAGCCAGTGCTAGTGGCGAAGGTCAAGCGATAGATGAGAATGCAGACGCACCTGACTATCAAGCGAAGTCTGCATCCAACGAGCAGCGTTGAGGAAGAAATCGTCGGCGAAGCTGTAGAGCGACCGTTGTTGGAAGCTGCTGGATCATCCAAAACTAACTTCAATGACATGGGAGTGTGTTGGACGGGATATTCTGAAAGTCGACGTCCACAGCGGAATCCAGTCCCCTGAAATTTGCTGGACACGGAAAAGATTTCCGTCATCGACAATCATTGTGCGCCACCAAAGGCGAAGGATTTCGTTTCCTGTGCGTGTCCAGATGGATGGCAAACAGCGCCACTTTCAACTATCCTTGTTAGAGGAGTTACCCTGGGTAGTCTTTTGACAGGCATGCAATGGTGGCTTCTGCTTGCCCTGTGTGATGTTTGCTCCAGATGATTCGAAACTTAGGCAGCTTTCAGGACTGCATGCAATCGTCATGTTGAACAAAATATCCATAAAACGAGGTAAAATTCTGTCCTTTAAAATCATAAATGCGTAGCAATGACATCATCGTCCAGCAGCTTGTGGATGTTAATTTCACCCAGTCTGAGGAGAATATGCAGAAACTCCGTGGGATACGAAAAACAGCACTTCAATAGGGCTTGAAAGTGCTACGTCACTCCATAGCAATGGCATAGCAACAATTTGAAAAATTCGAAAACTGGATCCACCTGGATCCAGTTTTTGTATGGATCCAAGCACATTTCAAGCGGTCTCACTCACAGCAAGGTGATGTTGCCAGTGAAACTGACTGATTTGGCTAGTGGGGGCGGGGTGACAACTGGTGGCGAAGTAAAAGTTGCACCTGCATACGACATGAGTGGGTTGCTATGCACCCACATACTGAGGCAATAGCAAAGTCACACCTTAGTGGATCCAAAATAGAAATCTGATGTCAATTTACTACTCCCAGGCCGTTTTTGACGTCATCACTTTCAAGCCCTATTGTGTGGAATGTTGGTGCATCAGTTGGCATCGGAACCACTCCTGGAGGCGAGCGGCGTACGCCCCTGCGTGAACATGCACAGCGTCGGTCGACTTGCGATTTTGGCTCCCCCCCCCCCCCCCCCCCATGAACAATATGTTTAGTGCAGTTGGGTCTTAGTGTACTTGCATGGAAGTGTAGTAGTGCTGTATACCCGATACAGCTTCAAGCAGGCACTCGCACCTACGATCCTTCAGGAGGAAATGACAGGCGAAGCATTTGAATATGAAAATACAGGAAAAGATAAAGTAAAGTTCGAACATCTGCGCTACAACTTCCTACACGTTTCACACAGTTAGACACCTCTACCCTACATTGTCTGCGTATATTATCAGCAACTGGAACACGGTGACTTTACAACATAAGTTTATTATTTTGGAAGAATTTGTAGCCGAGAGACCGTTTTTGGGTGGTGGTGTATAACTGTGTGAAACATGAAGTGGCTACACTGGGAGTCTGCACACCCTTCGGAAAGAACTTCCTACACGTGTTTAGAAATCATACAATCAGCTTGGGAATTTCTCTCTTGCTAGGTTACCACCAATGGCACCATGCCTGATCATTAAACATGTACATGTACCTACATGCAATGCAGGAAAACGATGACAATAATTATTTTACCTTCCACATAAGCTGGAAGTTGTCCAGCGTCGGAGTCTGATGCCTGTCCAACAGATGCGGGGGAGCACCTGTAGTAGCGACCACCAAGATCAATAATATGAGGGCGGAGGACATCCATCTGTCTCCTGTCCGAACACGATCTACATGTATCGTCCTCCTCTCTACTTCAAATACTTGTCCTCCTCTTACTGTGAAAACTCCTTTTATTTTTTGAAAACAACATCGAATGCAGCTAGCTAGCGCTGCCCCCGGCCGCGCCGCGAAAGATATCCAGCTACAAAAAATAGGAGGTATATTATGCTCCGCAGGCCGCGAAAGAGAGCCCGTTACCTGGACCCCTACTCGCGCGGGTAGAGCGAAACTGAGCACCCTGGGATGCGAGCAGCTTTTTAGTACTCCCGGGTCCAAAATCTCACCACCAGGCCGGGATGATCAAAACGTCTGCCGGGTCTGCAGCCTACAAACGTGGATCTGCCGACACTGTGCTGTCGACGACATGTCCGGCAAGGCACCTCCTTGCGTGAAAGCAAGGAACGCTTTTTTTTTAGAAAGGAAGCTTCTTCTCCAAAATTTTAAATTTTTGCAAATTATTCCTTCTGAAAATATCATCGCGTTCTTGACCTCGAAGCTGACTGCTGAATGCGATTAGGAAAGAAGATTCCTGAAGATACACCAGACTGATTCTGGCAAGCCGTCTGTCGTCTAGATATGCAGTTGTTCGTCATGCATGGTCAGCAATCTTCCTCGTTCGTCCTTTCGTTTTCCTGACCACGATGATGACAAGCAGCTCTCATGCTCAGGTTAGTGCTGTACTTGTATGTCTGGGCACACAACACATCTGAGATTCACCCACTGACGTTATCGAACTGAAGAATGCAGCAAGGGTTCCTCGGATTCTCTTGATTTCGGAACAAATTTCCTTCACTTTCACCCTCTCAGTCTCTTCCCCATGCCCTCCATGCATGCACAATGCAGCTTGCATTTCAATTGCTGTTTTTTATACTTTGGCAGTGCCTCTGCTACACTTTCATATAGAGTGAGGTCCTGTAAATAGGATCGAACATTGTTGGTGGTGGTGGTGTGTGGGGGGGGGGGGGGGGGGGGGGGGGGTACGTTTGCAGCCAGGATGTAGGAATGACACTTCTGCACAGCAGGTGGCAATAGTCAAAACTGGTCACTCTACAAATCCCATACCTGCCAACCTTTGCAAACCTGAGATCCAATGACATACCTAGGCATGAAAATGTATACAAAAGAAGCTCGCGGTGAGGCATGGAACTAGTGCACTTTTGGGTGCCTATTACCGCCCTCGATATCGGGACGGTCCCGGCCAAATCGGGATGGTTGTCAGGTATGAAATCCCAACCGAGAAAACCATTTAATTAAAAGATAAACTCGGCCAGGACATAGCGACTTTCTGTTTGCCGGGGGGGGGGGGAGGGTCATCGTCCGCAATATTGGTAGAGTTACGATTACATTGTATATGTACATGTAGATACATGTGCATCAGGGATTCATAGCACCTGGGGAGACGACATGAGACCTAAGTACCCAAAACGTTGTGAGTTGTGACCCCGGATGGGGTAGTTCTACGTGATCTGTGTTTCTATAGATCTTATTCGAAAACATGATTTTTGGACTCGCCTCCAGGGATTTGTTGTAAGCTGGGGCACGCGTACGTGAAACGAGTGGCAAGAAAGGCCCAGTTCGTACAAGGGAGTAGTAAAATACCGGTATTTTTCTACTCCTATGTTCCCACGCCGAGTCCACTGTGCACTGAGTGCAGGTCTCTTGCCGCTCCCTGGTTCCCGGGACCCTGGTTCACGTGATTGTGACGTTTATTGAATAAGGTCTACATGTATATGCGGGCATGCATAAATCAACCCTTCCACAAGGACGGCTCAAACAGGCAGCCAAGGAGTGAAAATTTCGCTCCTGGGGCTAGGAGTGAAACGAAGGCCTCAATTTGCCAGATGAACCTTCTCCATCGAAACGAACGAAGGTGTCGAATAATTCTTTTACCAGTTCACAGTTGCCGTTCACGCGCACTCCCCGGGGCGGGGGGGAGGGGGGGGCTACTATGCACTTGTAGTGATACTTACCGTAAGCCAAGTGGAACACGACTAGTTGACTGCACAGACTACAGTACAGTATACATGCACATGTATACAGTGAAGATCAGTGCGTGCATGCCTGCCATGATCGTATGTTGACCTTCGTTCGAATTGAAAAGAGAGGGTCGTTTCGAAAAAGAAAAAAAGCTCGATGGAAGTATGATGCTGCTGACAATTCAAGACTCACTGAAGTCGCCTTTCTGGAATGGATCATGCACTCTAGGTTCATCCAATTGGATATGGACTCAAATCATTGTTACACCATTATTGTTTGGTTAGTTATTGTACATCCCATAGCATGTACAATCAACCTTGTGAATAATCTACCTCGGGTTTACAAAACAACTCGCAAATAACGACACAATCTTCAGATCTAGTGAACATTTGATTGCATACTTCCAACCTCACGAGTAACAACAATGCGAATAGCGACACTTTTCTCATTCACAATCGAGGGTCAGTATTCCCCAGGTTGACTGCAATTGCCAATCAAACAGGAGGGGCGAAAGTCGACCACGGCTGAAAAGGCATAAAGAAAAATTAATGTATATCATGAGCTAGATGGCTGAAGGAGGAAGTAGGTTTTCTGAGAAAGCAAGAAACAGAGGTGAATGAAGCACCAGGTCTGTCCATGCAGTGGATAGAATTATTGCATTGAAAGACAGGCTCTTTACATCAGCTTGCTACTATTATACCTACATTTGCTTTCTGCCTTTTTCATGCAGGATTCTGAAAGCTGGAGCAGCTCTGCTTACCTCGACCACTGAACTTACAACTAACTTCCAACCAAGTACAAGGCAATATTATGATGAATCAAGCACGCTTGCCATCATGTCATCATTGCAAAGTACATCGACAACATAGATTTGGTGCCGACTATGTATGATGTAGAGTGTGCTCTATGTATCTATACTACTGATTGGCCTACATTGTACTTATGTGGGCTGAGAGTAATCGATTGTGCTATATGGCAGTTTACTTGTATGTCATAGATGTTAACATTGCACACAGCTTCTGAAATGCTTTCTGTTGCACTGGCCTACTGCGGCCCACTGCAAATAGATTGTAGTGGCGTGGGCCATGCCATAATTATAGTAGTATACCGGTACTACACCAACAATTTCACTGGTGTACTGTACTTACTGGTACGAGTAGATCTACATCATGCACAGCCTTGTCACTGCTTTTCTCATTTTTTATTAATTTACTGTACTGTACACATTTTGGCACAGCTCTTCCACAAAGAGTTACTAGTATTTTCTTCTGCATACCTACTGTATACAGTGACCTGACTGGTAACATCTATGGCTGTGAAATCACAAATTTCTGGGTTGACAGCCTCGAACCTATACGATTTGTTTCTAAGAACGTGCTATAAGAAATTTTCTATTGAAGTATTCTACTGTAGCTCGCAGGACATGGAGTGCAATTACGTAAAGTTTGGAACACCACTCTTCTGTGATTTGGATGTCAAATTATGAAATTCAGTGTGTGAGGTAAACCCATGCATGGCATACACTGCTATAGTATGACTCGGGGTAAAGTGTTCCAACGCATACTCATTATAGTGAATAGTTGTGTGACCAACGTTGTTGCTGCTGGATAAATAGTACATATTCTGAGATAACTGAAGCTACACAGCCATCTAATGTTCAGACATGCATCGAAGGGGCCGAACGAGATCTGCAAGGCATGATTCTATACCTGTATTTGATGCTCTCTAGCCTAGGACATTCACCTGCCTCATTTTCTCTGTGCTGCATTGATGAGTCCATTAGTAACTAAAGGACGAAACAGCATGCTGTCTGCAGATTGGTAATTGTGTAAAGACAGACGTGTATGTAGTGGTAAAGCTCAGATACATGTGCAACATAACAATCCCGGTGTTTGACAACAGCACAAACCTACACCGCAATTCTTAATTTTGGGCTGTGGTGTTCTTAGTATTCCAGGTTGGATGTTCTGTAGGCTTCCACGTTCTTGGGCGCACGACTTTACTGTGCCGAAGAATATTTTCAGCCAATGAACCCAGAGCTTGGTGGCAGATGAGTGCCATGGAACAGCCTTTTGCATGTGGCTTTCACTACATGCACATGTATAACGTTCAATTGATGCGGAAAAATCAGACGAGGACTTTTGCAGTTATGAGCAAGGTCCCCAAGAATGGTCATGTCACTTCACAGAATACATGAACTGATAGAGTAGACCTCGGTCCCCTCAGAGAACGCTTGGGGAAGTCGGGTTCAACCATAGATTTATACTTAACAGAGAACGCTTGGGGAAGTAGGTTTCAACCATAGATTTATACTTAATATTCTTTACAACAAGGATCGATGTGTTCCTTCGGATGCCCGTTATCAACTTTCACACACTTCTCCTCTCTCCTTTCGTCATAAGCACCATCTCTGTACACTGGTTCATAAAATATTTCTTCATAAAACCCCTTCACACATAATGAAGTACAATTGGTTTTCGACAAGCTCAACCCGTAACGCGCTTATCCTGCCTCTTGTTAAGTCAGCCCGGTATCTAAAGCCCCCCTTGTTTTCCGGTTATTCTCATTGGTTAACTGGGGACATGTCCAAAACCATACTAAGTACTTGAGCTGCTCATGAGCCCCACAATTATCAGGCCCGCCGGTCTGGTTGGTCAGGTTATCACCAGACCAACTTGTTGGCCACCAACAAACGTTTCCTACCGTGGAGGACGTGTGTACCCGCCATGAAACTACCGGACCAATCAAAAACTGCTTCCGGCGGTACTGATTATAGTACAGGTTTAAGTTAAAAAGCGGCTCCATTTTGTCATACATTAAACCAACTCTGTCATTGCTATGCTACTCAAAAAGAGTAGTGATGTTTATTCACAAATGAATCACAATGCTATCAGAGAAATTCGATATTCTCCAATTTTAGGGGCACTGCAATACTATCCAAAATTAATGCTGCATGGTCATTGTTATGAAGCAGTCACCTCAGTACAGCAATTAAACAGGCTGATTATGTGAACGAGATTCACGGCAAATCTTCTTCCATCAGTGCTGTTCAGTCTTGAGTGGTCCACTGAGACAGGAAAACAACCTGTTCGGTCCTTCCATACGAGAAACAGAAATTGAACATGTTCCAGGGTGGAGGTGGCGAGTATCGGCAATGTAATGCACCTTTAGGCCAACATGACCATCATTCCGACATGGATTCTCAAACACCTTCGCTCGTGAGAGTGCCTCAGAGTGGTATTCATCAACAGATGGCAATCCTGTAAAACACATGAAAAGACATAGCAGCAACAGAAAGAAACCTAATGTTATAGAAACGAATTCGAAAAACAAAGTCTACTATTATTCTAATACAGTGAACCAAGGTACAACCACACTCCAGGAGGCAAGCAAAAGAGCATATAATCCGAAGGTTGTGATGCCTGTATGTATTGTATTTATGTATTTACGGATTCTCCACAGGCTAAATCGAGGGAGTCTTTGTCATGCCACACTGGATACAACATGCTACCAGAATCACTTTCCCCAGAATTGATGATCTTTTCTTAGGGTGTTATATAAGACACATCTGTAGCCACTTCATCTTGCTCACGAAATCATACACCACCACACAAACGGGTCCTTCGGCTATTATACTTTGGGTGGTACATGGTGATGTATGATATTGATAATCTATTGATACCATATTCAAGTCTGACTCTCACCGTGAGATCCTGGCAACAGTATTACCTGGTACACGACATATTCAGACACTGACATAAGCATCTTTTTGGAACAACAGGTGTGCCTATCTGCTAGTGTAATGTGACACACATGCAGAACACATGCAGAATCAGTCATAGCTAATTTTACCCCCTCACTGTTGTATGCGCAGACTCCACTTCGCGGTGTCAAGTACTCTTCTTTCGGTGGGCTACTCCACTAAGGCGCTTGTCTAAAAGGACTCACATTCATCCTGCAAACCAACACGACTTGCATAGTTTTCACTGTCGGCCAAAGTGCGTGCATTGCACACATTGAGATTCACTCCCTCCGTACAGGCCAGTACAGAGCTGCCCACCAATTGAGTCTGTTTTGCGTACTCAGACTTCTGATTTTCCGTATCTTGCAGTGTTTTGCGTACTGCCGTGTACATTGCATGCATACTTGCACTGTAATGTTTTTTGACACGCACATGCATGTCGGTGGCTGCATTTGGTAGTGTAAAACATGTGTGACTTGCACTCACGACATTATTATTTTTGTGCTACATGTACATGTTGTTGTGGTACGGCATGCACTCGCTTTGGTACAAGACTATTCATCACTCAGCTTACACTTGCAATGCTTCTACACAGCTGATTGATCCTCTCCGATTTTCTATACCATTTGCTCAATTTCTGTAGTGCGCACAAGGAGTGATTTTCCGTACAAATACAGAAAATATGGAGGGCTGGTACTTGGTAGCACTGCTAGTATGGTAGTACCAGGCTAAGCTGGCTGGAAGATCAAATACTTCTTTGGTTCTTTCAGTCATTTTCACGACATATGTTTTCTTTATCATGATCCCCGGGGTGTGACATTCTTATGAATGCAGAAACTCAGTCTTTCTAACCGAGTCTCACGTGCAATGTGAATTTGTTCTTCTTTTCTTCACAATGCCATGTATCGATTCATCGCTTCTTCCCACCCGAGATCCTATGCAACAGCGATTTAAAGATTGGCTTTATCAAATAGTTAATTCAGAGAGAGAGGATCAGTTGTGGATGCTGTGACAGCATAGAGTGTAGATTGGTGTAAACATCATTGCCCAGCAGAACCGTATTCACAGGGATCTGCGTTTAGCATATGGAAGTTATTTTTTTAGAATTTGTACACGTCCAATAAGCCTGAAGAGAAGAACACCTAACTTAGACTGTCCTAACGTTATCGAACGCACTGCCAAAGTAAAAACAACATTTGAAATGCAAACTCGATTGTGCATGCATGGAGGGCATGGGGAAGAGACTGAGAGGGTGAAAGTGAAGGAAATTTGTTCCGAAATCAAGAGAATCCGAGGAACCCTTGCTGCATTCTTCAGTTCGATAACGTCAGTGGGTGAATCTCAGATGTGTTGTGTGCCCAGACATACAAGTACAGCACTAACCTGAGCATGAGAGCTGCTTGTCATCATCGTGGTCAGGAAAACGAAAGGACGAACGAGGAAGATTGCTGACCATGCATGACGAACAACTGCATATCTAGACGACAGACGGCTTGCCAGAATCAGTCTGGTGTATCTTCAGGAATCTTCTTTCCTAATCGCATTCAGCAGTCAGCTTCGAGGTCAAGAACGCGATGATATTTTCAGAAGGAATAATTTGCAAAAATTTAAAATTTTGGAGAAGAAGCTTCCTTTCTAAAAAAAAAGCGTTCCTTGCTTTCACGCAAGGAGGTGCCTTGCCGGACATGTCGTCGACAGCACAGTGTCGGCAGATCCACGTTTGTAGGCTGCAGACCCGGCAGACGTTTTGATCATCCCGGCCTGGTGGTGAGATTTTGGACCCGGGAGTACTAAAAAGCTGCTCGCATCCCAGGGTGCTCAGTTTCGCTCTACCCGCGCGAGTAGGGGTCCAGGTAACGGGCTCTCTTTCGCGGCCTGCCGAGCATAATATACCTCAAAATAGCTACAAGTACAAGCAAAAAAGTAGCTACAGTATGTAGCTAGCTAGCTCGATCGATATGCCATGCTAGCATGCTCAACGCACGTGCCGGTACATGCATATGTCGCGTGATTATGATGACAAAACACCTGCGCTGCGTATGCACACATTCAAAAAGATCAAAGACCCAAATCTCACTGTTCTTCTGCAGTTTTATTTGTCTTGCTGGAAATCCAGAGCTACAACCGGTTGGCGTTTGGCCGCCTGTATGGGACGCAAGTGATTGCATATGCACATTCCTTAGTTCCACAGCAAAAGCCGTGGGATCGTAGTGACTCATAGGAGATGTTGGAGATGGAGTCGAGCGGAGAACTCAGGACCCGTGGATTGGGTAGATTTTCTGCGTATATTATCAGCAACTGGAAGCTGGTGACTTTCCTGCTGTGTGCGTATGGCTTTGTGAAGGAGCTGAAGCCCAGTGAAGCATTTCTCAACCCGTACCTTCTGGAGCGCACCAACCTAACCAACCATGAGCTATCATCCAGTGTATACCCATTCTGGACTTACTCCTATCTGGCTTTTCTGTTGGTAATTCTGCCCATCACCGATTGGGTCCGGTACAAGCCTGTGATCATAGTGGAATCGCTCGCCTACCTGGGCACGAGGGTAATGCTGGTGTGGGGAACTTCCCTACAGGCCATGCAGCTTATGCAGATCTTCTACGGCCTCGCCACGGCGACAGAGGTTGCGTACTACTCCTACATCTATGCGGTGGTGTCGCGCAACCACTACCCGTTTGTTAACTCAGCCGTGCGTGCAGTGGTGCTCGTTGGACGCAGTGGTGCAGGCTACCTGGGGCAGATCTTGGACAACACTGGCACCCTCGACTACCGGCAGTTGAATTACTTTTCGTTCGTCTCCGTGTGCGTAGCCCTGACGATCAGCTTCTTCTTACCAATGCCAGCGAAGCCGGCACCAAAGTCCGATAGCCCAGGCCTGGTAGAATCACTTCTCAGCAGCAACGAATACAGCGATCGCTTGCAGCGCTGCCGCCGCACTCTGCTGCGGAACTTGACCGGCTTCTTCTCGGACATCCGCGAGATCTTCTCGGACCGCGAGGTGCTCAAGTGGTCCATCTGGTGGGCACTGGCGACGTGTGGTGAGCTGCAGGCGGGAAACTACATCCAGAACCTGTGGGACCAGATCTCCCCGGTTGTGTACTACGGCTATGTGGAGGCCACCGCCACCTTGCTGGGCGCCGGCGCTGCCTTCCTGGTCGGCTACGTGTCGTTCACGTGGTCGATCTGGGGCGAGATGCTGCTCGGCGTGGTGAGCACGGTGGACTCGTTCGCTCTGTTCTTCATGGCGCACACGGGCAACATCTACTGGGCGTACGGACTCTGGCTGATCTTCCGGGCGACGTACTCCTTGCAGATCACCGTTGCAACGTAAGTGTTATGACTGCGTACTGGTACTGGCTTGTGCTACTATGTCCTACTACTACTGGTGTATTCTTAGCCTGAACAGCATACTGTTTGTCCCAGTCACCTGTAACAGTGCCTTTGGGTTATCCCTACATGTATACTAGTATTCAATAAAAAATTAATGATAATAACAGTGTTAGCAGCAGCCTAGTTTTAGAATCTTTCCTCTGCCACTTGCCAGCTGTATTTGACCTCTGCTGGTGTCCTTGTGTGCAAGTACTTGAGTTTAGTGTCTGAGCAGTGGCTGTTTTTTTTTTTATTCTACGCTATTTCCCTGCAGGCTCCAGGTGTCCCAGCGGCTACGGAAGCAGCGCTACGGCCTCGTGTTTGGCATAAACATGTTCATTGCACTGGCGCTGCAGACCGTCCTGACGGCGGTGTGTACTGCTCACTACAGTCCGCTGCGGCTTAAGATCACAACGCAGGTGAGTCGACTTGGCACGCACCGTACTCTACTTCAGAATGGCAGAGAGCTGCCAGCCACTCACTACATTCGCTTTTTTGCAATTGCTTTTCTGCTATTGAAGCCAAAAATAAGCAATAAGGGCATCACTGCAACTTTTCTAATTGTACATTAGCTCCAACACAGCCACCTGCACATGTAATTCACTTCACTTCTCCAACTCCAAAAAGCGGTATCTTCACTGCAAATATCTTTACATTGTTGTTGCCCTGATGATGGGCCAGGGCCGAAAATGTAATGTAAAGATATTCGCAGTGCAGAGACCGGTTTTGGAGTTGGAGAAGTGAAGAGGAATACATACCACTGCAACTATTCGTAAATGCCGTAGCGTGTTGATCAAACCAGGGGATCTGCAGACCATCAATTCGCTTAACGCCGTAAAACACTTTGAATAGAGCGAATATTCATTAGTTTGAGGGGAAGATGCGAACGGGAAAGAGTCTGAAGAAAAAATTGACTGTCAGGAGGACTCGATTACGACGAACCAGGGACCTTCGCTTATGGCCAACCAATAGCGAATGTTCGAATTAGACAATATTGGATTGAGGGGATTCTACTATACCATCCTATGTGAGGTCCAGGCTGCTCTTCAGGTCAGACTTGTATTCACACCCGTTGTTTCAATGAATGTTAAAACAAAACTATTGTCGATATGCTGGTGGTCCAGCTTGTGTATGAGACTGGCGTGCAGGCAACAAGATAGAACAGTATATTCTCCGGCCTTGTCTCCTTGGATTTGCATGGACACTGACATGGATGTGGGTATGAGGGCACTCTTCAAGTACTTAAGGTCCGCTTCATGTATCACGGTGCTGTACAATGTTCTCTTGTTCGGTTTTTTCCTTGTGTTGTTCGCTGCTGCAGTTTGTTGTGTATGGCTCATACTTCTGGGTGATCGGTGCCATCTTCCTAACAAGCGGTGTGTATTCGCGTACCAAGGAAGGCTGGCATGCAAGCTTGGAGAGAGACAGAGACATCAGGTGTGTGAAGAAAGATTTCGGGGGTGGCGAGAGCGACCTCATGGAGCCGCTAATACGAAGCCCGGACAGGTCCCTGCTGCTCAACCGCTCCGGTGCAGAGGAGAGTAGTGACGATGAGCCTGTATCTCTAGACAGGTAGTGACCAGTCATCATGTTTGGCTCTCTCTTTGTCTCTCTCTCTCTGTCTCTCTCTCTCTCTCTCTCTCTCTCTCTCTCTCTCTCTCTTTCGCTCCCTGCTCTCTTCTACCTCTAAGTTCAGAAGAAAAAGGCACATTTGCCGGCCACTCGCCGACAGCGGACCGCATGTAGCAACGCCTACAGCACACTGGAACTCCAGATGTGCGCTGTGCGTGGTACAAGGCCCCCGCCACAGATTGGTCACGACTAACCCCGTGCTGATAACAGATTGGTCACGACTAACCCGGTTACCCCGTGCTGATAACCAGCTTGATGTCTTTCTCTGCTAGTGGTGCTGACCTCGCTCATCTGTGCCTTTGGGATACGGGCTGCTTTTGAGCCGACCCATTCGAGACCAAGCTAGCCTGAAATACACTGGCCCCAGTGCAGTGCACGTGTACAGGCAAGGATACAAAGTCCCAGTGCAGTGCACATCACGGCTCTGCAGTGTACAGGACAGTATACAAAGTCCAAGTCGGCCACTGATACACTGATTTTGAACGGATAACCATCGGGTTGCAACGAGTAAACTTATGATTTCGGCTGGCCTCGCTCTTTTTGAATTTTATTTAGACAGTTATTTATGCTACTACCAGTGTCTTTGACCTTATGGTATCTTCGCTGAAGAATGGATAGACGAGCTTATTTACAGTCTTTATCCCTGGTTTTTCAGCACGCGTTCCGCTATCAGGGGAATCCACACAAGCACCATCTATTTTAGTTAGCCGCCGTTCCGCTTTTTATTGGGGCATGGGGGGGGGGGGGGGGCTGAATGTATTCGAAGCCGAACAGCGCTCTTGTCCGCTGTTTGCCCTCTGTTGTTCACCATGGTTTAGTTTTGTGCTTTTCTTGACTTGACTCTGTGACTTGATTCTTCTTGATTTGAGCATCACCAATGTCTTATATGTAGAGGTGAAAAGAGGAAATTCACCGAGCATTCCAGACAGCCACCGTATATTCTTTAGCCTATACGCCATGCAGGTGGTAGCAAGAGTACTCTTGCTAGTAGGTACCATGTTTTCTGGAGTATATATAAGCCGCACTTTGAACACTCAAAATTCACCCAAAAAGAGCGGGTGCGGCTTATACTCCGATGATCAAATTAACAGTGATAAAATAGGGTAGATGTGTGTGTTCCGTGGCAAAAAAATGGGGGTGCGGCTTATACTCCGGAAAATACGATATATATTTTTATTTAGAATAATTTGTTTTTCGAAAATCTGTTTTGATACCCTGTGAAGTGGTGTGATCAACTGTGTGTACAATCATGTACATGTAGGGATAGCGTTGGTACCGTAGAGTGGCCTTGAGCAATCTTACTACACGTTGTACTGTACCAAGAGTCCACGAACGTTTATGCACTCGTGATTGTACACATACGACTTTATACATCAGTCACTAACATGTGGTCATTGCCTCATTGGCCCTCTCAATAGGTCTCGTTGCCTCGTATGTGTGGGTCTTCTTGTAAAATATCCATGCTAACACAGTAGCAGGAGGCTGCATGGATTGTTCAGTACAGTACTTGGCTGAGAACCAGGGAGTCGTCAAATTTGACGACTCCCTGCTGAGATTGAGAACATTACGTGGGCACAGCAAGAGTTTTCCGTATGTTCAGAATGATACACTGGAGAAAACAGCCACGCCACGGCATCACTGCCACCCAATAGGCCAGACACTATCCGGTCAGACTTCATCCAAGCACTGCTGTACGTTTTGCACTGCACCGAAAGCAGTGCAGGATCGATAGTGCCACTCAAATACAACATAACACACGGGTTAAAGTGGACAGCAGACAGAAAAGTCTACAACTGGAAAGAAAATCTTACTAGGGTAGGACCCCGAGGGCCAAGAACTGAAGAAATTCAAGTTCTAAGACTAGACAAAACCAAAAAAAAAAGAAAAAAGGTAACTAGTATTGTGTGAAAAGCGCTCCACATGGCAAATTTCATGGTAACAAGCAACGTAGTAAAGGGGATATATAGCTATTCCTGCTTTTTATCGTGGCTTTTCTCAATCTAGCACGAAAATACAAAAAAACTATCAGCATGCACACCTCAAGCACATGACCAGAAATTATCGAAGGTCGAGGTGTCGGTGGAGAAAGCCAAAGCACATAGCTACAAAGAAAACACGTTGCCCGTGGTTATATGAATATTTCATGAGTGGCACAGGAATCTGGGAGTGCACAGCGGCATGTGAGGTTCTGGACCGTACAAATACATGAGTTTTATTTCACCATCACCTAGGCACAGCCTAGCAAAAAAAGAAGACGGCATTACAAATTATGAGCGGTTATGAAAGCAAAAACAAATAATATGCGATAACAACACTAAGATCTAGAAAATTGGCCGAGTACTGAGGCACCTCATCATCTCAAGCTCAAGCGAAGACGGACAATAACAAAGGACAGCATCGGGACAGAAATCAACACGGTGAGAGTGAGATGGCCTCACCGAGAAAGAAACCAACAACCGCGAAGGACGCAGAGCGTTAGGACGACGTGTTTTTCTTCTTAGACTTCTGCGTGGAGACACGGGCCGTTATGTCCTTGACCTTTCGAGTATGGTCTAGCACCTGGAAAAGAAACCAAGAACAAGGTAAGGAACATGCTTAAGAACAGGATGAAGAACATGATAAAGAACATGATAAAGAACATGATAAAGAACATGATAAAGAACAGGATGCTTAAGTAACGAGGACTGTAAGGTAGCAGAGGTGCAGGCAAATGCAGCCAAGAGTACATGAAAACCAGAGTGTGCAGCTTGGGGCCTTTTCTGCTACGGGTGTCTGTCCCGGGGAATTCCGTGATTACATCATATTTGGCGTAGATATGAGGCGGGAAATGGCGTAGTGGGTACAACTGAGCTGCAGTTGTGCAGAAAGAGACCTGCTTGAATCCCGCTTGTACGCACTACATCACTAAAATGATGTAATCACGGAATTCCGCCGTCACAGCAACCCATCCGAGCTGCACACTCTGGTTTTCATGTACTCTTGATGCAGCCCATAGTCAAAGTCGACCGTAGAGGCAGGAGGCGTCACAGACCTCTTGTTTCAATGAGCTGGATATAGCGAGGGCAGCGCTCATTCCCACTCCTTCGTCGTCCTTGCCTACCCAACCGAAGTCAGGCACCCAATCCCAGGTGGGTCTCCTAAGGGTGGAAATAATGTTCGCTCAAACTGGAATTCGAACCTCCTGTTTGGAAGGCCAATACTTCAACCACCTTGCCAGCAATGCACTCCAAAGAAAGCTGTGGGGAACCCAAACCTGCATCTCTTACCAGCAGGGTTCTAGCCAAAGGGGGTGGGGCGGCGCAGCCGGTGATTTGCCCCATACATTGCATATAGCGTGGCAAGACAATATAATTTGGAAAGTGGAAAAAAGGGACACGGGGTAGCTGTTCGAAGTGTACATACCTTCAGTAGGGTTTGCTTCACTTCAGTCAGCTGGTCGATTAGCGCTTTGCTGCGCAGCACGTTACCCTGCAAGAGGACACGCACAGTGTAAGTCAGTAAGCAATGATGATGCCACAACATGAGGATGGGAACACTCATCAGCCAGTGCATGTACTAGGGCTGACGCCAGTACACTGAACATTAGAGTACACGCTCAGGAAATACCCGTACTGGGGACACATCAGAGTACATGCACTCGTCCATGCATTGCACGTGTTCACTGCAGAATTGAGCAAGTTCACAACAAAGAGTAGAGATCGGTGTTCAGCCTCTGCGGTGCATACTGGTACAGCAGTGGAGTCAGCGGAGCTACTAGATTGAGGCCGAATGACCCAGCAATCAATGACAGTTGATCTGCACAGTTGGTCTGCACAGTTGATCTGCACAGTTGGGCACATATCAAGTGACCTACATGTTTCTACATGTGACGTGTAGGAGGTGAGTACTCGAATACAGGATTGGCGAAAATCAGAGTATTCAAACTCGGGATTTCACAGCAACCCTTCACCCTAGTATCTTATCATCCAACAGCCACACTGAATTGTATGTGAACGTGTGCACGCATGTGGCTACAGTGCTCGGCGTACTGGCTGTGGGAAATCACAAAGAGCTAGTGACAAGAGCAGTTGAGCTGAACCACTCCGGACACGAAAAGCTAGTCATGTGCTGCAGTCAGGCACAGCACAGAACCTCCAACCACGATCGTATCGCCTTGCACAGAATCTCCAAGCATGATGATCGCATCGCCCTGCTGCACATACCTGTAGCAAATCCATGATCCCGTCGACATCCTCCTTTATATCCGGATCATCTTTCCATTTCTCCGCCAGGAAGTACGTAGAGTAGCGGTCGGCCTTTTCTTTTTCGTCCTTACACTACAAGAGAGCGGAGAACAAAATAACCAGCCATCATGATCAGGGGACACTACCTATTCACTTAATTCGGATACTGTGAAGTGAGAAACTTTCGCTAGAGATTAAATTTCGCTACTTTCGCGACCATCCCACATTCGGGACTATAAATCGCCGCAAACTGCTCTGTACATTGATTGTAGACAGTATAAGGTCCAACTGAAAAGATACAATCAAAAGTTTCTCATCTTGAACCAGTCCAATTCATGAAAATGCAAAATTTGCACGCCGCGAAAATTCGCTTTACAGTACACATACAGAAGCAGAAAAGATGCCGTCTGAGTTATTTTGAAACAATAATCTACTATATTTCAGGAGTGGCAGTGGCTCTGAGATGGGCTTGCCTTGTCTGGAACACCACAGATTGATCGTGGCAACTCTCAACTTCTTTCCAAAGAGCTCAAGATTCCGAAACACACATGTACACACATACGCACACACGAATATAACACACAAATATAACACACACACACACACACACACACACACACACACGGACACACATACGATCACATGCACACACACGCACGCACGCACCTACGCACACACACACACCACACACACACACACACACACACACACACACACACACAGAGGACCTACAATGGCATCGATGTTTGCAAGGACGTGATGGATACGGTTGCCTTCGATCATCTCCGGATGGCCTTTCACCTTGCTGGCAACATCTGATAGACTTGTCTTCTTTTCATCTGAAAGAAATGATGCGAAGAGAAGAAAAAACAAAACAGACAAAGTCAAAGGTCACACATATGGAGTAAGCGATCAATGGAAACCACTTACAGATCTTAGGCAAAGGCACATCAAACGTGCTTCACACCAAATACATCACCGTGTGCCTAAAATCAGGGTTGGCGCTAGAGCCAGTCAGACTACTGACGATCTACAACCGTAGGAGAGAGAGCGCAACTCTCTCTCAAACCACATTTATGCCGTGGACACGATCTGATCAAAATACTTTTAAAGTCACAATATAGCCAATAAGAATTGCCACTGAAAAGGACATGCACATCTCACACTTCTTGATGACGGGAGATTTCAATATCAGGAGAAATTGGGGATCTAGTTGATCTAATACAGGTGTAATCCTGATAATTCTAATATCAAGAGTTCATAACCCCCAAGAGTGTGCAACTCCTGATCAGTCCCTGTATGGAAGCCCACTCGGCGGAATTCCTTCATTGCGTCATTTTTGGTGCAGTGCGAGGAGTCACGCCGATGAATTCTTCTAAAATTTACAGTCAAACCAGGATGCTTCCCCAGGGTAAACTGCGATTCTAGTCTGAGCCTCAAGAAGCAAAAGTGAAACAAAGCACACGATCCTACATGTAAAGACAAAACTATTTATTTTTCGATGCAATGGTAACTCTTCGAAGCTTCATCGCCTTCTTCTTTCACCAGTGCAGTCAGTCTCTTCAAGAACAATTTCTTCCCCAGACCATCGGCATATTTCCGGTGCTTTCCTCGAAGATGATTTCAAATGGTTGAGGAACTTGAGAGAATACGTCGAAGGAGCATTTTTCGGCTGAGTTGCACAGCCATCAGAATGAGTGTCCTCGACGGCAATGCAATATTTTTAACAGCGTCCTCACTTCTTCATGTCACGATGTCCATGGATTCTTGGAGAAAGAGTTTGTTTTCGAGAAAGTATGACTTGTACGTCCGAAATGTCTTCAAAAAAAGCTTCGAAAAGTCGAGGCTACAGCCTTGAGTTAGGAGTGGTTCAGGGTATAGTTTCCAGAAATCGCAAAGAACCCAAATCGGATGACAAGCTGCGCATGACGTAATGTAGGGATTTCACCGAGCGCTGGGTCTATGCCCGTTGCACACTCTTGGGGGTTATGAACTTTTGCTAATATGGCTCAATTCAAACCAACCGCTCAGGACAGATTTCAGTCAATACGATTACCACAGAACAATGTCTGATAATTCGAACCTCGGAATGGGCATGCACACCTATTTGTAGTAGAAGTCCCACGAATCCGCTTACATAGAAAAAGTGCGGGATTCTTGCGGATAATGCGAAGCAAGCAAGGCAAAATGCGAAGCTCACTGTATACTGTAGGACTGGTCAGTTTAGTCTGTGTGTGTGTGTGTGTGTGTGTGTGCATGTATGTATGTGTGCGCGCATGTGTGTGTATGTATGTGTGTATGTATGTGTGCACACATGCGCACACGTATGTATGTATGTATGTGTGTGTGTGTGTGTGTTTGTGTGTGTGTGTGTGTGAACTGGCTGTGCCGGCCAGTTGATGGCAGCTCGGAATGCGCAAAACCTGGGTCTATAGTGCACATCGCAATGCTGCGTGACAATGCCAGCATTTTGACATCTATATTGTGTTGGGGTACATGTTTCTCACCAGCAATTTAGGGTTCAAGCATCAGGATTTCATCTGTATGTTGCATGGCTGAGATGGATGCAGCAACATGCTTGTTTGTACGTGCCAACATCTCTGCATCAAATACTGCATGTATGAGCAAAGCATACCTTTCACCTTGACGTCACTGGCACGGACAAAGTGATTGAGCGCTGTTTTACCACGCGGTACATAGCCACCACCGTATGCCACGTTCATTCGCCGGCGAAACGGGAACTGGTGGATGCCGGCCTTCTGCGGTTTCGCGGCGACTTGTACGACTGGTTCCTTCGGCGCAGGGACCGAAGCGGCAACTTGGCGAGAGCTGGCGCTACCGCTACGAAACTCCCCTGGCAGAGTATTACCAGTAGGGACATTGCTGGCTAGTGGGTCCTCGGTGGCTTTCACCGTCTGCTTACGAGGCTTCTTACGCGGAGACGGGCCTACTACATCTGACGTGCTCCCGGCCGCGTGCGGCACAGCCAGCTTTGACGAACTCGTCTGCCTGAAGCCGGGGTCCAGCGTGGCTTGTACGGTGGTGGATATCGAGGACGATCGGTGACTGGAGCTCGACGCATGCAGTGCTTTCAGGGCCGCGGCCGACTGAGACTTGGAGGAGGACGCTGCAGTGCTGCCACCGCCGCCACGGTGCTGGAAGTCGAGTGCGCGGCCGCTACCCGGCATCGCATAGCCACCTTTGCTTGGCGTTCGGCTTAGGTCGCCCATGTGTTGATCAGCGTGACTGTCGGTGCCGTTGACTTGATCGTTCGTAGTAATGCCGTTGCTGAAGCTGCTTCGGTCTGCAGCGGTGTTCGGCGCCATCTTCCTCGTCCTGCAGTGGGGAAACGCCAAAAGCAACATACTGGGCTGGTGAGACAACAAGGTGAACCATTTCTTCAAGGTACACAGGTTCCACCACAGTCACTTCATTAAACAAACTCTCGCCAGCACACTGCACCACTCCCAACATTCGTATCTTTGTTGCAGAGTAAACAAGGTCATGCTCAACCGAAGTTTTGGCCCAGGGCCACTATCAAGATCGAGTACAAAGGACAAATCGGACGTGAACCATACCACGCAAAGTGACATGAACTCCTCCAACACATGCAGTGGGAGAAGAACATTACAGAGAAGCCAGAGTGGGTGCACCGAAGAAACTCTGGGAAGCACACCAGCCATCGCACCAGTAGCTATAGAGTGGTCTCACATCTATCACATGACCATACAGGGCAGCCATGTGGGTTCCAACTCCACACAACACCTGCATCTATGGGTCACATAATGTCAGCCATGTTGGTTCCACTGTCCACATGACCTGATCCATTTCTACACAAATTTAGTAGTCACATGACAAAGATGTGAAGCCACTCTATAACACACTTGCAGTGCACCATGCTGTACTCATCCCTTTCACATCACCTTCAGGGAGTCCCTTAGGAAGTGCTGCATACATCAACCGCCGTAATCAAGAGCCGCCGCATTTCCCAGATTATAAGGTTTTCAGATTCCTGTCGTACGGCTTCAGGGTTTTCACGGCAGTAATAAGTCACAGTCGATACGAAGTCGCACCCCTTCCCTCAACCTAGCGGTCCATTGGAAAACAAAAGGTGCAATTAGAATAAGTATTCCGATGGTGAGCCAAGGATAATATTATATTGGAACAAGGAAAACGGTGGGGCACACGTTATGGGGCTTGCCGTGGAATGTCTCAGTACTCCTTGTCAGTCTGGCGCTACCTTGTGCACATCTGACTGTTCAAAACCTTTTTTAAGTTGGTGGACTCTAACGCATAACTTGTGCCCCACCGTTTTCCTCGTTGCGACTAGAATATTCTGGGAAATACGGTCGATGCCGGCACCGGCTCAGTGCTCACCCGTCATGATTGCGCTTGCGAAGGATGCCAGGCAACGGCGATGTCGTCGGACTAGCAGCACGTGAGTGGCGCTCACTTGGCTAAGGACACACGGATACACACACACATATATGGACACACATACACACACACACACACACACACATACACATATGGACACACATATGGACACACATATGGACACACATACACACACACGGACACACGCCAAACCAAAATACGGCATTAGGTTTCTACACGACTACAGCCCAGTACTAGGCAGTAGTGCTCCTAACCAGAACGCCAGAACAGGCACAGCAACATCAGCTCTACAAAGCCAATTTCTACGACTAGCTCGTCTTGATCAAACAGTAGAGCTATCAGAAGGGAAGGACTGCACAGCTGTACACGTAATGTGAGGCAAGCCAAGTGAGCTTTATCTAGATCGAGGAATTCCACTACAAATCTCTATCTAAACAAAAAAGGATTAAGAGTAAAGGGCGAGCGGTTGCCGATCTTACCGGGTCACTGCCGCCACCACTACCCACAGGCGGCACATTACGCGATGCAGCAACTAGCGCGGGTACCTGTTGTTGTTGTTGCTGCTGATGATGATGCTGTTGCGGCTGCTGCTGCTGTTGCTGCTGATACACCTCGTTCATGTGACGTATTGACGGAACCATTTCCTGCTGGTAGTAGTACTGAGGCCCTGCACCGGGAACACAACAAGCATATTACGACGAAAAATTACCGGCCACTGCTATGGACTGCTGCATGGAGGAGTCTAGGGGCATGTTCGATTGGTAAGGATCGGGATCGGGATCCAGATCTCAGATCCGTCGGATCCTTCAGAGTCAACTGGACACTTTTTTGAACCTTGACTGTTGCCATGTGGACGAAGTAATAAAAAGTCGTACTCACAGCGCCAGTTGTACAAAAAGTCAGCAAGCTCTATCTATGTCGCGTGTCACATATTATTTTTTAGAAGTGTATAAAACAATTTTACAAATATCCACGCGAAACGAAAGCAGAACGGTAGCCAAAAATAATAATTTAGTGCGAAAATAAGAAAAATAAATAATAACACCCGAAAGCGCTAAATACAAAATCAAGAAAAAGGGAAATTATAAACCATGTAGCGCTAATGTGCACCAAATAATAAGTTAAATGATAGCAAGCTCTATCTCGATCCACGTGTGCGTACCACAATGTGTACAAAAACGAGTTTTACCCGCCATATACGCACAAAGGTCACATTTGGATCCGTTGGATCCGGTCAACCCTGCTCCCCGAGGTGGGTTGACCGGATCCAAATCCGAAGGATCCGGATCCGGATTCGACCAATCGAAAGGGTGCGAATCCAGTGGATCTGGTGGATCGGGATCCCGATCCTACCAAACGAACATGCCCTAGCACTGCACGAAATTGTTTTGCTATACAAGCAGTAGCACACACCCATGAAATTAATCATATCGCAGATGGAGGGACACAACACACCCAGTGGCAGTCAACATTCGATGGCATGGTTATATTTGATCAAGACTCGAAATTACAAGGTCTGAATACCGTAAAGTACCGCCAGAGCGCCCCACCATCTTGTCCTTTCGTGGTCGGATTGTGGAGGTGGTTTCCTGTCTGTAGGTCATACGACACGAACTTTGTACACATGTTGCACATTCTGCGGACAATCCGCACCTTCGAGCGGACACGCGCTCCACACAAAAACCTGCTTAGTGTGACCTTAGTACACTAAGGTTCTCACACCGTACAAACTTCGTTGCACTCTGCAATACGATTTTCCTGTCCCTGCCTGTAAAATCAAGGTGGGGCGCTCTGGCGGTACTTTACGGCAGTAGTAACAAAGTGGACATTGAACATTGATGTAACATAGCACTATAATAATTAGAACGAATCAAGGAATTTCCTAATCGATTTTCATGGGACACTCACCAGGGAAGCCGTCCCAATAATAAGAAAACTAGGAAGAGAAAATCAATGAAGTTGTGAACGGTAGGTAGAGAAAGCATTACAACTAAGCAGGGGAAACACTGTCACAAGGTAGGGGAACATAATTTATTATGCATTCAGGGGGCAGTGAGAAGTATAAAAGGCGAGGTGTGATTAAAAAGATGAACTGTGAGTGTTTCAGAGAGGTGCACTCTCGCACCGACACAGCCAGGCACCTCTTACACTCACCTCTCTCTTTTTCCTTTTTTAAATCATTTCACCCATCCGTGATATCAGCACACACCTCTTTGAAGCAACCTGGGTTCATCTGCCTTATCACGCCCCACCGTTATACCTCTCACTACTCCCTAGACGTACGGGTGTTGCTTCCCTGCCTAGCTATTATTGTTCAGGCTGCTTTCCCTGATGTGTCTCTTGAAACTTCAACATTAGGAAGCTTTATTATTTATTCGTGCACGCCTGACTATTCAAAATCTGGTTTAGTTGGTGGACTCGAACACATGACGTGTGTCCTATCGTTTTCCTTGTTTCCATTGGATATTATTTATCGCTGTACTAGAGCTCTTGCATCCATGTTGTGCAAGTATGGACTCGGAAAATGTTATCGCATGAACTGATTGTTTAGTAACTGGTGGTGTTAGTGGACAAGATAAGCGTAACTTGTAGTTCCTTGGTCCTTGTTTCTTTTCTATAACTTCATCCATGTTGCCTATTCCTTATTGAGATAGTGACGTACCATTAGCACCGTCGATCTGCACCACCCCGGACGGCATCATGATGGCTCTGCTTAGATAGGTCATTGGTTGGCCGGGCGCCGGAGGGCCGACGGGTCGCACAGCACCGGCGGGCGCGGAGGCCACCATGGCGGCTGGCGCTCCTGGGGGTGGTGCACACACTGCCATGCCCGGCGGAATGAACTGGCCAGCGGACGACACACTGCTCATATACATACCAGGCGGGAAACCATCTACAGCAAAGAAAAGACACAAGATACAGTTGGACAAAGACAAATTAAAATTAGCACACACAAACACAGAATATACTAGTAAATTTGACGAGGCTCTTCGCGCCACTGCTCTTCAAAATCGGTATCTTGGTGATATGAGCATAAGCAAACAAATCCTTCCATCTGCAAGTATTGACAAATTGGCACCTTTGAGCGGGCAAGTGGCACCAGCTACACACTGAAGCCAGAAATGCAAAGCATAACAAATCGTCACCAGCTGGCCAGAGCGAGGTTTGCACAACACATCTGCACACCCATCCACTCAATATTCAAGCGGGAGTGCAGAACAAATGTCACCTGGCTGCACTTGAGGCGGTGTGTATCGCCAAGCTGAAATCGGGACTGTGTGCACAGAGGAAGTATGTGCAATACGTGTCACTATTTTGACCTTGCACTACCGTAGTCCCCCCCCCCCTCCCGTTGCTGCATGATGTGCTGTGAATTTCTGGTTTCAGTGTGTAACTGGCGCTCTCAAAAGGTGCCAACTAGTTACTTGTCAGTATATAAATAAATTAATGACATGTTTGTTCATGCTCATCTCACCGATATATCAATTATGAAGAATAGTGGTGCGGCGAAAGGCCTTATTGTATTTACCAGTGGCTTCTACGCTTCGTGTGGTGACCGAGAATAACACTACACACCCACAATGCTCATCACCCCCCCCCCCCTCCACACACATATTCATCACCCACCCCCACACATGCTCATTGCCACCCCCACACATACACATGTTCATCGCCCACCCCCCCCCCCCCCCCCCACACACCCACACATACACACCCACAATGCTCATCAACCCCCCCCCCCCCCCCCCCACACACACACACATACACAATCATGTTCATCCCCCCCCCCCCCCCCCCCCCCCACACACACACCATGTGCCATGTACCATGTACCATGTACACACACACATGCACTCACATGTACACGCACACACACATGCAAGCACGCACACCCACCCAGAGTGGTGGTGTGAAAGGCCAGACTGGGCAGCAGCTTTATTGTTATGTGTGCTGATTCAATATGTTCCATATCACAGACATGCATTTATGGCATTATGAATATGAATACTGTGCAAAGTGGCTGGCACTTACTTGGCATACACTCGGGGTCGATGAAATACGGATAGACCGGTCTAGAGCCAGACGCACAAGACATAAACAAAGACGAAATTAATTTACAGCCGCCTAGAACTCATCCAATAGACAGACAGACACACAGAATATGTAATATCCCCCCCACCACCACCACGTACAAACACATACCCACCACCCCCTAGATCTTGGGCCTAACGGCGAATGTAGACAGGTGCACATAACGCGAACAGGGATGACCAAAAGCGCCACGCTGCGCTGGGAAGGATTTCATGGCAGCATAAGCGCTGACAGCATTTACGACTGCAATAGAAACCACAGCCACTTATGGTGGGGTTGTAATGCTGAACACTAGCCACAATTTGGTCTGGTCTACACCACACAGCTTACAAGGTATTTTTCTTCTTCTGGCCAATGACCCCCCCCCCCCCCCACACACACACACGCGCATTGCATAGTGTGTATTAGTGGCAACGCAAAGATTTCCACCCCATGCCTCAGTGAAACAGACTGCACAGCCAGTGACAGCATAGTGAGTATCGACCTCAGCCGCAGGAATTGTCCCAGCTTAGACTTACCGGTGTTGTTGTTGTTGTGATTTTGCTGCTGCCACTTGACCAGGTAACGCAGCAGCAGTAGCAGCCGCTGCAACAGCCTGGCTACTGGCACTGAAATGATTCGCGTTCTGAAAGGGGAACCACAGGAGGAGAGAAACAACACACGGCACGCAAATCTCGTCAATTCGGCAGCACTTACTACAGCGATTCCGACAAGACTAGGGATAAGACATGGCATGGCTCTTCCCGGCTGCTCCTGCCTGCGAGACACGCAACAATTCTGACCACAGCGGGGCAAATGCTGAAAACATACGGCCGTTACCGGTACCAAAGTGTACATAAGACTTACTAGTGGTATATGATTCTCCACCACTGGTATCTGCTGGCCTGGAAGACAACAGGAAAGGAAACGTGCGGTGAATCATCAATGGACAACGGACATACAATGCAGTGCAGCATAACATCGTATTCCCCCTACAGCAAACGCCAAGCGCCAACATGCAAAGCAGTGTGCGCCTCACAGTAAACTGAGTAAAGGCATCCGACCAACGGGACTACCCGCGTGCAGTAAAACTACTTCAAAAACTGAAGCAATGGCGGGGCCCATACAGCTGCTTCCCTGGCAGGCATAGATGACAAGCCCCACTATGGGTTTGAAAACACAGCAACTCGGTGACCACAGCCAACGACAATCTGCAATGTTCGCCAGCTTTGGTCAAAGTTTCTAAATGACCAGTTTTTCGCCTCAATGTGAACTCGTCATTCGTGCCCTAGTTAATTTTGGCTGCCTGCGAGGTAGTAGTCGGTCAGTCAGCTGGCTGGCTAAAAAAGCCTGGTATCATTGTTCCGATCAACTGAAAAAATGACTACCATAGTACAGATACAAATCACAATATCAGTAATTTGCATGGAGCCCTACGCTGTGTATATCTTGGGAGACAATGTCCATTGCTCAGGCTTACAGGGCAAGCGTGGTGGGCTATCACCCTTCATTTCACATTCATTTGTCACTGGCGGTCGTTTGACGAGCCAGGAAATGTTGAATAAATACAAATACAAAAACACGTGCCGGCAGTAGGTCGATGAGTGACCGCATGCGTTGTTGCTTACCATTGAACATCGCCGTCGGCGGTTGCTGGTTGGCCACGGTCAGTGCTGCCATTGGTACCGCTGTCGCTGCTGGTGCTGCTCCAACACCTCCTGCAGCAGCAGCAGCGGGGAGCAGCGACGACGACTGCGCCATGACCGTACTGCCACCACCACCGGCAGAGTGCGCCGTCGACACGTCCGCAGTGGACACTGAATACGGTGACGTCGTAACGTGTCGCCCACCGCCCTGCTGCTGCTGTTGCGGGGACGTAACGCGACTTGTTGATGGCGGGGATACGATGCGATTGTCGTGAGTAGCGGCAGCAGCAATAGCAACGCTAGCACCGGGTACGGCTACAGGCATGGGCTGGCTGCTGGCAAACACTGCACCAGTCATTGCACTCACGACACCGCCGTTCACAGGTATCGGCACAAGCATGCTGCCGCCGCCGCCACCACCACCACCATCCATCGGAGGTACCGGGGCGACTCCTCGCATTTCAATCGGAGGTGACTCCATGCCCATGGGTTTCGAGCGCGGCTGCTTGTGTTCACCGGAGGCTGACGATGGAGCACTGGGGTTCTGTGGCGCAGCTGCGCTGGATGTTAGTGGACATGGCGGTGAATTCGGAGGTCCTGTGGACTGGCCATCACTTTGAGTGCGTGCTGCTGCTGCTGATTTCGCCGAGGCCGGGGTGGATGTGATGCGCTGTGCAGCACCGAGCATGAGCTGCTCCTGCAGTTTCGCCGCCGCATTCTTGTTGGCAGCGTTCGGCAAAGGGTTGTTGGTCGCTGCATCAATGACCGACGTTACGTTTGGTGAATGAAACTCTGTCAGTGGTAGATGTGCCACGCTGTTGATTAAAGTGCTAGGCTTTCCAGGAGTGTGGTTGACAGTGCACGTGACAACTGGTACAGCTGGACTGCCACTGCCAGCGGCCTTGGCTGCCTGGAGACGCACAGCATACAGATGACAAAACAACCAACACGTAGATCTACCACAAGTCGAGCTCCGAAAGAATGCCACCTATCACTCAGTATCACGCCACAATGGCCGCGCACTCCTCTCCTCGCACATATGCACCAGCAGCAGGACTTCACATCTATGGTGCCAAATGGTTGCAAACACGATCAGCAGGCAGCACAGGCAGACAACAGGCAAACATTGTTGGCGTCGGCGCTAAGAAGAGACTACTGAGTTCGACTTCAACACGACCGAGTTGAGCGCGCACAACGTAAACACCACAGCAGGTCACCCACACAAAGACAGATAAACACCAGAAAGAGAGGAGGGATTCGTGAACAGTCACACGTGAGAGCAGCTACTAGTAGCTCTACAACGTTACTTACGACATTGGTTACGTCCAAGCGCGCCTCCAATGCCCTGCGAGTGACAGAATCTGCAGCTAGGAAAGAAAGGAAATAGAAGAGACCAACTCAACACTCCCACACGTGAACCAGAGAGGAGCTTGGACCCCATCTGTGCGCAGGTACTCAGATGTGTAGATCTACGGAAGAAGCCATACAAGTGAAAGGACTCGACAGGCACCGCCACAACTACGGCGAAAGCTGGCGACAGAGCAAAAAAATCTATGCTCGAAGCAAACGCATCACTCAGAGGACAACCTTGCACTGCAAGCAAAATCAGCGCCACACAACAGAGCTCGCCAGTCAAAGACAGCAGGACAACGGAGACGCCAAGAACGGGGGTTTCACAGCGTCCGTCGCAACCACCGTAGCTAGCACACGCATATATGCGTGGCCCTAGTTTCGCAGGATCACATGGTAGCGTACAAATAAGCATGCAAGACAACGAACTCCACACCACCTCATACGTGATCTACGGGACAGGGGCCACATGGAGTTACGACAGCAAAGAAATAAGACTCTTCCAGGGAGAACAAAACAACGCCAAAGACAGCGACAGACGCAGGAAAGGCATGAATGGGCACGCACACGCTGAGAATAAAAACACAGGATTGTGTAGTACGTACCGGTGGACGAAATTACACTGTCCGTAGTCATATTGTTTGTTGGTGCTGAGCCAGACGCCGTGGACAATGGCGTTGGAGTAGCCATCACAGGAGCGTGTGCCACAGATGAAGGCGCAGTCGGCACCTAGTAATCACAAAACAACGACACACGTACCTCAGAGTGAGCGATATCCACCATACACTGGTTCATTTCGTCTACTAGTATAACGATCACATCAGCAGCTTAGAGGTCCACGTGTACTCTGAGATATGCAAGAACAGAACTCACAACAACATCGTCGGCCATCGCTTTCCCACCTCTTGGCTTCGTCACCCTAGCACGCTCGCGGGTGGCAAGTCGCAAGAGGAACCATGGCAGGTAAGGGTAGAAACATCGAACAAAAATCCAGAGTGGCTTTGCTCTGAGACCTTGGCATTGGATGCACACATCATGCTGTACTGTATGCAACAGCAGGAAGCATCATCGAGAAATTTAGCACTTCGGCCAGTGCAGTATCCAGTCATATCATACAGTGTAGTGCCACCAGCAGCCGTGGGCCGCGAGGCCACGCGTTGCTCCATGCAATGACACGGCAGGGTCCATGCGGTGTTGACCAATCAGAGCGGCAAGCGTCATGGAAAAGGCCACACCACGTGATAATAATGACACATTTTGGAAACTATACGAGCAAAGGGGATTCCCCGGAGCTTACAAGCAATGCACACAAAACTGACATGTCGACAAAAGCCGAAAAACAAAAGAAAAGACGTCGTTGGTTTTGCAAACGAGGTCAGATGTTTTGTTACTTTTCATCATTCTGTTGGGCTTCGCCATGCCTGTTGACTCAGCGTTGACTCTTGAATTTGAAAGCTTGTCTACAAAGCAGTGAACTACTAACTTGTTGTATGTAGCTTTATAAAGTGATGTGGACCTCTTATCCCAAGTGCAGACTAGGCGACTAGGGAGTTCGACACAATTGCACATGATGTGTAGAATGTAGTCTTTTTTTGCTTTAATATTGTAATATTTATTTACTGGTATTATAAAAAATTTTGTAGTATGGCTCTCTGGTACATGGTGCAGACAATAGCGTGGGTGGGTGGGAAGAAAGGAGCCGTACCGTAAATCTACGCTATGTCACAGTATGTGTCCCATGGCCTTGTACGTGGTGGGCCATGGGAGTCGGAGGCATTTGGGGTGAGGTCAGGTTAGGTACGTAATGATTGCGCATTCATTTTGTGTGTCCTGACCTGAGGCCGAGATCGTGGCGTGGCACCATCAGATTTCACAATACAGTACCATGAATAAAACACTCCCTGAGATCATGAGCAGCCCACTCATCTATAAAATCATGAAAACTGTTACTATTCTAAGTTCGTTAAAACTGTTACTGTTAAGTATTATTATATTAAACTTATTATTAAACTCAACAGCCCACTCAATAATCTACTATGTCTATGTTATGTTCAAGAGGTATTACCCCCAAGAGTACATAATGTACTCTTGCTATGTTGTAGTGTCAGTATGTGAGCTCTCGAGCCTTACTTGTAAGTTGCAGATAACTCAATCAGGTCATGTCATACAGCATGGCGGAAGGGTAAATTATCAGTAATATCAAGAGGACACATTAAAAAAGAAAAAGAAAAAAAGGTTGATGTACTCTTGGCCAATTGGTGATATACGCCGTACAGTAATTTGAAGGCCATTGAAAGACTTTAAGTTATAGCTCAATAGCAATTTTGGGTTACAGCAGTTATCAGCGAATGTGAGGCAGTTACAAAAGTAAGAAGTAACATTTAGTTGCTAGTGCGCCTAGCATTGTTTTATGTGCTTCTATAGCATTGCGTTGTTCTGGTAAAAATGTATGATGCAGAAAAGATAATGAATTCGGACTACTACAAGTACTCATCAGTTTGGAGGAGTTGAAGAGGGAAAACCCCAAAGAAAACAACAACTGTCACAACCAGGTACCAAACCAGGGTCCTTCGCTGTAAGCCAGCCATGCTCTCTCTATTCTAAGCTATGAACTATGGAAATAAGGAATTTTGGTCGTCATACTATATTTCGTTCAGAAATACTACATACTATACTTGTGGAGAAAAAAAGAGAAACAGCACAGATCATCAAGGGTTCCTGGCCTGCAGTGAACCATATAAAACACATACAACAAACCACACCCTACACAGCGTCACACGTAGCGTCCAGGAAAGTACTGCGGACGAAGTCGCCAGTTTAGCCTGCGTGCGTGCATGCTTACTGACATTCCGTCCGTCTGGCTACAGCACGTTGCGGCGCGTCATGTACAGTGAAGTGTCTCCGGCTACATGCACACAGACAAACGGCAAAACAGAGACAGTACACGTGGTAAGCAGGCAGTGTACCCGGGTATGCACTACAGTAGTATAGAGAATATGCAATGATGTCAAATCCGCCTTATATGGGAGCTAGTCGAGTGGCAAAGTGCCCACTTATGGGTAAATTGCGTACAGAAACCCCATGTAGAGAAGAACGTTGAGTGGCAAATGTATTACGTGACGTGTATTACATATCTTCTATACATTTAAAAGTTCATACGCACACATGTATCCAATCCGCGGACAGCTACAGTAGCTGTTTCGACCTTGTTAGGTCTCGTCAACGGAGACCAGAGTGACTGGCTGAACCGATCGCAAGGAAGTCGGAGCACAATATATTCAGGTATCCAACAGGTCAGTGAAATCTGTCTAAGGCGACCAGAAGGCCACCACTCAAGAGACCTCATAAATGTGGTCCCCATCATACAGGTGGTCTTCTCATCCAGGGTCATTGGACTGGAAAGATCATCCATTGGTCGGAGCTGTAGAGGTCTTCTGGGACAGGCGGTTGCCTTGACAGGTTTTACTGTACTGCATGTACTGTTGTGGATATTGAAATCCGGTGGAATGATCAGAGCCGGCGCCCTCAGTGACAGTGCGTACACATTCACCTACACACTGAAAAAAACGGACCAGCAATGTCTAGCACGCAATAGAGTCATCATATTATGATTTATGAATGCGTAGCGTATGCGTACTCAAGGCTGCAAGGCCAGCGCCCCGTGGTTGCTTGATGTCTCACCGGATTCCAATGTCCACAATAGTACTTACTGGCATTGTGTGACAGGTGAGAGAAGATCAGGCCGTAAAAGCGATCTGCGGTGCCTTCCTCTGGCGTGATGGCCTGAAATACCCTGCAGCCAACAACACACAGCAACACAACCAGTGAATCAATGGACTGGCTGCAACATGATTTAACAAAAGGGTGGCTTAGCTGCATGTAATCTGTGGCTACTTTACGTGTGTGCGTTGCCATCGGGGAGTCATAAAATAGCGACTCCCTAGTTACCATGTGATACTCGGTGATATACGGACCCAGAGGAATCCAGGACCTACTAGTGTTTACAGTAAGAAGAGCTCTGAACTCAGAAGCACACCTCGAACAAAGCAGTATTATATCTCCAGGAGATAAGCAATACAGGAAGAGGTGCTGCTCACCATCCTACATGTTGTCGGCACTTTGGGCACACGGCAACCTGCCAGGAATATCCAGGCCACCACGAGTGCTCGGCATAGAACTGCACAAGCAAACACCAGCAGAGGTCACACGGAAACACACAGAACACTATATACATGGCTTCACACCAATCAAATCCATATCTTCTACTGCTCTAGCACATGCAATATACAGTGGTTTCACATCTTGGTCAGGTGACTAAATTTGTGTAGAAAGTGATCATGGCATGTGGACAGTGGAATCAACATGGCCGATATCACATGACCCATAGATGCAGGTGTTGAGTGGATGTGGAGCCCACATGGCTGCCCTGTATGGTCATGTGGTAGATGTGAGACCGCTCTATAGTCAGTAGTGTGAACTCTGCCAAACACAACACTAACGAACTGCTGCCACTTAAAGTACACATGTGCTGTATGCAATTGTGGCGAGCCACTTCTCAGACAGACCTAGCGTTGCAGTAGAGATAACAAAGTTACTTACGTGTCCATGGCCGACAACATGGGCGGATGACACCGTGACCAGGTCAAACGACAAGTCTGCAGTGCCAAACAGAACAAAACAAGAACACTGTAAATCCAACAATTCTCAACGCATATTTATTTCGGACCGTTTACGGCCTGAGCTATTGAGGTCCAGATATACTTCAGCTGAAAATATTGCTTGTGTGATGCAGTGCGACACTGCGTATCAATGGGAGCAGTGCAGGCTAAAAATCAGAATTATTATTTAAATGCGGCCAAAAAGAATTCACCCTCGGCCTTGGAGGGTGAAATTTAGGCGTGATGAAATGTTGCAGTTTTCCTTTCTATGCAGCAGTTGTACTGGCATGCCACGTGCCTTGTTGCATGCAGCTAGACATGGACTACTGATTCCTTGACCACTGGACTGGTGGACGCAGTTGTTTTGTCCAGATATACCATGACCTGCCATGTACCAGTATGATATTGCGGGAACACATGCCCTACTGTACTGATCTGTGAACACACATCGCTGGCCAACCGGGCTAGTTCTACTGGAGACCCGCCACACAGAAGATACATGCTATCTGCTTCCAGCTTGATTCCGTCTAGGGAAAGAGCATGCTTTCCCCAAGCACATCTACATCATGCGTGCACACACACACACACACACACACGCACACACACACACATCTACGGAGCAGAGGTAGCAGAAATATGTGACCAAACCATGAGCATTACCTTGCGGATTGACAAAGTGCTGTAACGTGATCGGCTGGCGGGCACCTCTTACTGTGTGGTTGAACGTATGGATGGACTTCTCACTAGGAATGAAGATGACATCTGCCAGGTTCATAAGGCCCTGTCTACATGGCTGGCAAACAAAGTCTGATGCCGTTGATGCTGGAGGACCTGACACAGAAAACAACGAGGAAAAGAGACTCCCTCAACCTAATGAAAAGATAAGTGTACATCCTTATAATTACGGCTGCGTTGGGTAGCGCTGTGGACGAGTATCGGGTTCAGGTGTTTTCCCCACGAGTCTTACTGTATGGGTACCCTTTCAGGTACTGTCTCCGGGGAAAATTGCGATTCCGCGGCCGCGTTTTTTTCCGCGTTTTTTGCGATTTTTTAAAAGACCGCGTTTTCCGCGATTTTCCCGCGTTTTTTGAACTTTTTTGTTGCACTGCACGTACACACAGTGCACTGTTCGGTCAGCAACGTCTCATCGTGGCGGCTTTTTACTCAAATATGACGAGTGCTTACACCAGAGACTTGTAACTGATTGATTTCACTACATACTCACTGAAAATTGCCGCGCATCAATATTATTCACCGCATATTTACCGCATATTTACCGCAAATTCACCGCAAATTATGCCATATTATGCCGCGTTTTCCCCCGCATTTTTTGCGATTTTTTTCCGCAATTTTCCCCGGGGACAGCAGGTAGTGCCGCGCTGCACCATTCATTTTTTTACCCTTTATCCGACCGGGCAGTCAAAAATCGACGACTATCCGTCGATGACTTAAACAAGCTGTGACTCACTTATTTTTGAACGAAACAAGTTTGCAAATGGTGTAACTTTGGCAATGATTATATTGCCCTCCTAAAACTTTGCCCGGAGGCTTCCCTGGTGGTATGTTCAAAATGTGTTAGCATGAAAGTACAAAATTAAGACTACAAATAGTCCACATGTCGATGAGCCGTGCTTCTCTTCAAAAAATGGAATTGGAGATGGATTTTTGTTCCTCTTACAAATGAAGGCTAGAAACTGTAGAGACCTCCTCATGGCTCAAGCTTTCCAAAAAGCCCAAGATTGCCAATATCACCCAAGGGAAACTAAAGTAATCAAGAAAATGAGTCGCGGCGTCTCGCTGGGACTGAGAATTTGTCCGCTTTGACGGTCGGATAAGGGTTAAATAGTATCCGTTATGGTACAAACAGAATGTACCCTCTTGGTGTTAATCCTCTCTCCAAGAGCTTTCCGACAAGACAAAGATCGTCATAATCGGTGGTATCGACCCGAAGTTGTCAGTTATGATGAAAATTGACGCTAAAAGTGCACATGGTACAACATACACAGTGCTGCTCAAAGAAATCCAATCGCGCGAGTCAAGTACGCGTCGGGCGCTGTGCAGCCCTACTACAGTACTAGTATAGGCTGTCCCCACAGGATACCGCGATTCCGTGGACGCGCAATTTTCCGCGTTATTGGCTGTCATCCGCGTTTTCGGGGGATTTTGCATAAAACCCGCGCTACTCATGGTAATGTACAAGAAAATAGTACATGATGTTGAAAATGCACTGCAAAGCCGTACCGGTGCAAGAGCTTGTACGAAAAAAGTTGTATACAGGTCCTCCCTCATTATAACGAGTCCGGTTAGTACATAAACCCCGTTAGTAAATAGAAATCTGAAATCCCCTGGCGAAACGTGGTCTATACAACTGTTTACAGGTCCGGTTACAACATAATCCGTTAGTACATAAAATCCGTTATAATGACCCTTTGCCCAGGTCCCTGGAGTGCCAAACCCTCAGTATAAGATAATATTGACCATGCAGGATCAAGGCCAAAACATGTAGGATAAAGCGGAACGAGGAAACGTTTGATGTCTATGTATTCGTGAATATGGACGATCCTTTGCATCCAAGGAAGAGTTATGTTGGAGATTTTCAATTATCTTATAACGAGTTGAAGCATCGATAATTTATGTTGTATCGAGGGTAGCCCCGGCAAGTACGAAGTAGTGCCTATTTTCACCTTTAGCTGCAAGTCCTGCTACAAGATAAGTCTCGTTATAAGATAACTTTTTCGATGGCCCAGAGATTATCTACTAACGAGGGAGGACCTGTACTTGCATGAAACTGCATGCTAAGTTGTACAAATAACAGAGAATTCGTGCATAATGACCGCATTATACCGCATATTTGCCGCATAATCCCGCATATTTGCTGCATAATGGCCAGTTTTCGCCCGCATAATTAGAGGATTTTGTCCGCGTTATTCTGTGGGGACAGTATAGGCCTGCGGACACTGGAACGTGAACTGGTGCAGGGCACACACACACTTGACGCACACAATTGGATTCAATCATGTGCATACTGAAGAACTCAGTAATGCCCCTTTTGATGACTTTGTTACTCCAATATGCCCGGGCAAATACCTATACATGTACATGTATTTATTATCCCATGGTACGAAACGATTTGGGCCATTTCAGCCAATCAGCGACCGTTCTGAGCGGGGGTATAATGTAGAGGATATAACCCGAGTCAGAGGGTTATACCGGCTGAATATAAATCCCGACTGCGATAGCAGGAGGGATTTATATGAGGGTACGGTATAACCCGACTACGAGGGTCATATCCTACTTATGCCAGGTACCCCTACGCATTTCCAGAACAACGAACCTATTTGGAGATCTCCTACATCATACAGTACATGAACATGTTCTGCTGGTTATCAGTTGTCAATTGAAAGAATGGTCGAGCAAGATCAGAAGGAGATTCCTCCGTGGATGTTTGGCATCAGATTTCCTTTCAGTTCCAGTGCATATTGTAGCATATTGTCTCGTGAGCGATGCGGAAGTCAACTGAATTGCTGGGGTGCTGGAGTTGTTGTTGAATCAAACTACCGTCACTAGTTAGACTACAGTACAGTTTGGACTCTTTGGGAGTAAGTGTAATATTATCATGGTTATGGTACAGTGCTGATTTTCACATGCGGCATCTTATAATCAGGTTTGCTTACTTGCAAGTAGATGCATTTGCATACACTGTTTTGTATCACTGTATCACATTTCAATCCATTCTAGCGTTTTTCCAATCGGTTTAGGTGGATTTGAAGTACACTCTGTATCATAAACTGAGTTACGAAGGAGACAGTCTGTTGATGATCTTCAACTATTTGAAGTACAATGTACATTGAAGACCCACTCGGGATACTTCGTGGTTATTTGACGTTCTTTATCCTCAGTTTCGGTAGAATACATGTAGAATGCATGTAGAATACTCGGTAGACGAATTCCAGGTCACTCTTCTTTTCCATTGTGTACTGTTCCTCGTCAGTAATGCCGTTCTGTGTGGAGTGTACACGTGCATGTGGTGTATGTTGTGTCTGTTGTGAATGGTCCGTGCGCTGGAGTGCTGCCGTCGTACAAGTTCACTGCCTTTCAGGCAGTGAACTTGTACGGTGGCAGTGCCCTAGCGTACGTACCGTGCCCCGGGATTTATATTCAATATAAATCCCGCGCGGGATTTATACTGGCCAATATAACCATGGCTAGACGAGCGCTGATTGGCTGAAAACAGGCCCTCCGCACCGTACCGCCTACGAGGGTCATATCCTACTTATGCCAGGTACCCCTACGCATTTCCAGAACAACGAACCTATTTGGAGATCTCCTACATCATGCAGTACATGAACATCTTCTGATGGTTATCAGTTGTCAATTGAAAGAATGGTCGAGCAAGGTCAGAAGGAGATTCCTCCGTGGATGTTTGGCATAAGATTTCCTTTCAGTTCCAGTGCATATTGTAGCATCTTCATGATCTTGTCTTGAGTCGTGAGCGGTGCGGAAGTCGACTGAATTGCTGCGGTGCTGGAGTTTGTCGTTGAATCAAACTACCGTCACTAGTTAGATTACAGCTTGGACTCTTTGGGAGTAAGTGTTACTATAATTATGGTACAGTGCTGATTTTCACATGCGGCATCTCATAATCAGTTTTGCTTGCAAGTAGATGCATTTGCATACACTGTTTTGTATCACATTTCAATCCAATCTATTGTAGCCTTTTCCAATCGGGTTGAAGTACATGTACACTGGTATTATAAACTTATTTACGAAGGAGACAGTCCGTTGATGATCTTTAACTCTTCGAAGTACAATGTACATTGCTGACCCATTCGGGATACTTCGTGGTTATTCGACGTTCTTTATCCTCAGATTCAGTATAACAGAATACTCTGTAGACGAATTCCAGGTCATTCTTCTTTTCCATTGTGTACTGCTCCTCGTCAGTGTGCCGTTCTGTGTGGAGTGTACACGCGCATGTGGTGTCCGTTGTGTCTGTTTATGTATGGTCCGTACGCTGGAGTACTGCCGCCGTACAAGTTCACTTGTACGGTGGCAGTGCCCTAGCGTACGTACCGTGCCCCGGGATTTATATTCAATATAAATCCCGCGCGGGATTTATACTGGCCAATATAACCATGGCTAGACGAGCGCTGATTGGCTGAAAACAGGCCCTCCGCACCGTACCATGGTATAATGAGCAATATACCCCGCCGGGGTCAATAATATACATGTACCCCGCTGGGGTCACTGGGTCAGTAATATACCCCGCTGGGGTCACGAATATTCCCTGGGTCACGGCAATAAGGGAGATTTTAGTGCTGGTCACGCTCTATTTGGGACAGCACATGGGATAAATGGATTATACCATTCGTACTCTGCGTATACCGTGTCCCTTATATTGTCCCTCGTGCTAACGCACTCGTGAAAATATTCGGCGGCCTCGTAGCCTCGTACTCATGGGATAATCCATACATATACTAACGCAAATGGAGTACATAAACCAGAGTGTGCAGAGTGTTTGCACATGTGTGGCATGATATGACTTGAAGCAAGCCTTGAGTATACAAGTATAACCTCCCATATTTACTCTTGCTTGAAGTTGTAGTGTATCCCACCAGGAAATGCATTTTGTGAAAATACCATGACGCAGAGTGCCCCGCTCTTACCCTCATCTTTCGCAAATCTCGACAAATCAAGTCCATGACCGGCAGGAATGGAGTCAAATACAACCAACACGAGCAGCTGACATAGTATCAGGGAGAATTGTACAAATTTCATCGACTTCTTCAAGATGTGAAATGGCTCAGAAAAAGGAAATGAATTGGGGTACATGCACATTCCCAGCTTAGGGAACACGACTCAACATGCACATGGAAATTGATCAAACGACGTCCTCAGAAATACTCTTTCCTTCACCAACAGTCAACACTGAAAAATGACAGCAGCTACATGACATTGTACCAATTGTGTAGCTAGTAGTCCACTTGCATGCACGTACATGTATGTGTGTATTTTTTGCGTTCAAAGGTTTTCGAATTTTCTAGAAATTCGAAAATGCTGCCTTTCCACATTTTGGGCTAGCACCAAGGCAAGATCAAGAGTACAATGTCATAAAATTAGTTGTGTACTCTTTGTTCCTGTACTGTACAGTGCGTAGTTGTTTGTGTGTCTGGGGAACATTTACCCTGTCTCGTCGCAGTGTAGTTTCAGTCTTTCACGATGGATTTGCTTGCAGTCAGCAAGCTCCTGGGCGTTGTGACAATCGTCATGTGCTCTGTTATGAAATTGCCACAACTTTGGCTGATAATCAAGAGCAAGAAAGCACAGGGTATCAGTCTATCCAGTTTATCAATGGAATTATTCTGGTTAGTCTCGCAGGAAAATCTTTTATTTTTCGGCCATGAATTCTTTTTTGTTTGTTCAAAAAAACATTACAAAGTCAGATCATTGTTCAGAATATTATGTTCTCTGTTCTGACCACTCTCATCACTAGAATACTTGCTGAAATGAGTCTAGGAAATAGAGAGAGAGAGAGAGAGAGAGAGAGAGAGAGCGCACACGCGTGCGCGCGCGCGCGTGTGTGTGTATGTGTGTGTGTGTGTGTGTGTGCGTGCGTGTGCGTGTGTGTGTGTGTGTGTGTGTGTGTGTGTGTGTGTGTGTGTGTGTGTGTGTGTGTGTGTGTGTGTGTGTGTGACTTCAATCAGCTGTGTGGTGGATACCAGGCTAAAAATTAGTGGCGGTCAATTCATCAGCCTTGCAAGCTGTTGAATGGTGTAATCCCAGCACAAGTTGCTATGTCTAACATAGCTGTTCGTATCATCGCTTCCGCGATGGGCATGTCTGAGTCTGAGTCTGAGTGTGCGTGTGGTGTGTGTGTGAGGAGACCCGGCTGCCCAAGCAGATGCTATTCGGTGAACTGCCCTGCGAACGCCCGCAACATGGTCCCAAGAAGCGCTGGCGGGATGTTGTGTCCTCGGACTTTACTGCCATTGGTATACCTGAAGCGGACTGGTATGACAGCGCAGGAGAGATCCACCTGGTCTCAGTGTTGTCAACAGAGGGTCGAGAAGGAAGCCCCAGACATCCCGTGCCCCAACTACCGCTGTGACAGAGTGTTCCGTCGTCCTGGTGACCTCAAGCAGCATGCGCCGTACTGCAGATTTTGGGTTGAGAGCCTCAGCGTGAGGAAGCCATCGCTATCATTGCTACAGCAATGGGCGTTCAAGGTGTATGTGTGTGTGTGTGTGTGTGTGTGTGTGTGTGTGTGTGTGTGTGTGTGTGTGTGTGTGTGTGTGTGTGTGTGTGTGTGTGTGAGGTCCTGCTTGTGATCCGACTCCCGTTTTCTGGTCCCCTTTTCAGAGGGGTGACACTTGCCCATCTGGGAAGTCATGCTGCTAGTAGTAGTACAGTCAAATCTGTCGTAAGCGACCGCCCCTTGGTGCAAGAAAAAGCGGTCGCTTACGGCAGATGGTCTCTTACGGCAGATGTATGGTAAATTCGGCATACCAGGTATATGCTTCCATGTACTCAAATCGACGAGAATAATGTGATTTTTAATATCATTTTATTGGATATTCAACGACGACCATACCCGTATAGTACGCGTATGCGACACGGCAGTAGATCGACACTGCCTAGCGCCTGGACTTGAGAGCTACAGCACAGCCTCATTACCATGATTACAGGCCAGGCGCCAGTCGATCGCACTTGCAAGACAGCGCATTTTCACACTTTGCAGTTGACAGCGCGCACTGGCAAGTACAGTTTCGCACCTTACTGAACCTGGGTCGCGGTCGCTTACAGCAGATTTGAATGCAGCCACCGTGCATGAAATCGCGGTCGCTGGTCGCGCACAGCAGATGGTCGCTCTGGACAGATCAGTTTGTGTGTGAAACCGTCGGTGCACGGAAAATCGGTCGCTAACGCTAGATGGTCGCCTACAGCAGAGGTCGCTAACGGCAGATTTGACTGTAGTAGTAGTGAGTGAGAGAGAGAGAGAGAGACCCAGTGCCAGGGCTTCATTCAAGATGGGCTTCGTTGACGGGGCACGGTTCAACAGTAAATGGTGTACCTGAACCAAGAGTACATATAACGGAAAACAGTATCATAATGGCAATTGTTTAAAGAGTGCAATAAACAAAACCATCTGAAGCGTCATTTTACGAAGGATGTATTGAGATGTCACGAACAAATTCTAAGGGGTCGTCGCAAAAGTATTTTGTCTTCCCTGAAACGAACGATGTTCGTTTCGTACTCGGACCCCTCCCCTCCCTCTGAAACGAACGCAGCTTACTATGCTGGACGACAAAATTGCATGCATGTACATGTACATAATGTACAGTGTCGGTCGACTTGCGATTTTAGCTCGCACCCCCCCCCCCCCCCCCCCCCCCCAAACGAATGATGTTCGTTTCAGGGACGACATAAAAACTTTTGCGACGACCCCTAAAGAAAGTGCTGATGGACAAAGACTTAACTGTGATGGAAATGTTATCATAGTTATTTCTTTGTCCATCATCAACACCGTAAATGTTGTTTGTCGTCTCTCTCCGTCTCTTTCACTCTGAATGGCAGTGACACTTGCGGCTTGCTATATGGATTCTGTAATGGATATCCGTTGACGACGTACGGAGAGTCGGTGCTGCTTGTGTTACAGAGTAAGATGTGTAGTGTACGGGCGACGCCAAGACTACATAAGCTCCCAAGAGTGTGCAACTCTGAATACCCTTTCCAAGGCGTCCGCCGATGGTGAAACCTCACGTCACGTGGTGTAGTGTTCACATTGTACGTTCCCTGCCCGTTTTAGCGAGCGCTGGAGTAGTAAGATTAGCACTCCCTGACAAAAACTCACTCGGCTTATGCAAATCATCAGCATGATCATAGCAGATAATTGGACTGCGTTTGCACGCTGGGCCTTCGTTGTACGTAGAACGGAACTTATCTGGAGCATGTGGGGTAAGTGTTTGCTGTTGGAGACCTCGCATGCAGAGTTGCACACTATTGGGAGCTATTTACTCTTGGTATCACCCTCTTGTGAAGTGAAAACGACGGCAAAATTGCTTTTCTCCGACAGTCTTGCGGCTCATGACTGAGGTTTCAGCTGCATCAGCCAAGTTTTCCAACGATGTTTTACAGTATCTGGGGCAACCAGTCCAAGTGGACTATGATTTTCATTTTAAATGTTGATTTTTTAGTTTTTTTGCAGGTACAGTTGTGTTTGCCTGGATTTCTTGTCCTTGAGAACAGTTAGATGGATTGAAACAGTGTGCTGGTTTAACTGTGGCCTTTTACACAAGTTCATGGGTGTTGTCGAAATATTCCTGACCATGTGCATATCTGTCTATGTGTGTGTGTGTGTGTGTGTCTGTCTGTCTGTCTGTCTGTCTGTCTGTCTGTCTGTCTGTCTGTCTGTCTGTCGGTCTGTGTAAACGTGTGCGCGTGTGTATGTGTGTCTGTGTCTTTTTTGCTGTAGGTATTTGTCTCCATGTGTTTGTGATACACTATGAGGGCCTGATGTCTTGGCTGATCGCACTTGCTGGTCTATTGTATCCTCTCACAGTGCATTCTCTGTTGATAGGGACATGTACCTCCAGCTATAAACTGCAGCATCATAGTTACTCGAGGCACTGAACCCAACCTCAGACTGGTGTAAACAGCTCTGAAAACACCGACAGTTCACTTTCACTTCCCCAGGCCCTGAGAACAATGCATCGGCACTCTTAATCAGCACACGATCAGACCTGTGCAAAAAGGTCACAAGAACCGCTTTCCCGTGCACCAGTGACACTCCTAACGGGTGATTGTTGAAGACAGCTTTCACGGGCTGTCTGATGTAAGCAGCTCTGAAAACACCGACAGGGCACTTTTTCTATGAGGAAGAGGACGCAGACATGTGATTCATAATTTGTTTGCTGGGCACGCGGTGATGTCACGATGATGTGAGAGGCAAGGCATGTGCTCTGCTTTGTGTCTCTGTCGCTAGTAAGTATTTTCCTTGACACCTTGCTATGCATTGTGCGCTCAGGTACGTTGCATTCGTGACTGCGGCCGCGACTGGCGTTGTACCGCTCACCGGCCTTCAGGCTCTCTTTGTAAGTTTGTATGTGTGACAGTAGACACACCATGTCCTCATCCGTGCACGTTTCTGGTCGGAATGGTTGGTATGCAGATCTAGAAAGTAGAAACAGTGCAGCGCCCATCCTAACCCTAACCCAGTTGTACACGTGTGCACACACAATGCGTGTACAGTAAAACCTGTCAAGGCGACCACTCGGATAAGAAGACCCCTGAAACCAGGACCAAGGGATGCTATTTCCAGTCAAATGCCCCTGGATAAGGAGACCACCTGGTAGCAGAGACCAGGTTTTGAAGGTCCCTTGAGCAGTCGTCTTAGACAGCTGTTTCACTGTACTTGCTAGCTGTAGGCACTGCATCATTGTGCACTTGGTTTATCAGTCTATCAACCGTCTTACATAAACAGATTATATTACAAGTATCTTAGTCCAGTGTAGCCAATCTCTAGCAACCCTTGCAGCGAGGGACCACCTGTGCGTAGTGACCTCCAATGCCAGGCCCTGAGAACCATGCATCGGCGTTCCTCATCAGATGTGTGCAGAAGGAACCGCTGTTCCGTGCACCAGTGACCTGCCTAACAGGTGATTGCTAAAGTCAGCGTTCACTGGCATATCTTTACTTTGAGACATGGTTGCCGCATGAAGCTTGGCCTGCCTTCTGTGCACGCCTCTCAGGTATACTTCAATGTGTGTGTGTGTGTGTGTGTGTGTGTGTGTGTGTGTGTGTGTGTGTGTGTTTTGTAACTTATGTTACTGCAGTCTGTCCTCTTGCCCATCCTCATAGCGGGTAAAGTCCAGCAGATCAGAGCGCTGGTATCTGTAAGTATGCTGTTCTGGATTATACATGAACTAGAACTGCATAGAGTTGTTATGTACTAGTGTCCAAAATATCGGCACTGCAAAATTTCGGCATTTCACGATTTTCAACATTTCGGCAGCGATTTATTTTCAGTAGAGGGTTAATACTAGTACATCACCAAATCCAATGTGAACAATTTCATTAGCGTTTCAATTTCGGCATTCGGTGTCGAATATAGCCGAAAATTAAATAGCTGGCGAAATTTTGTATTTTAACAGTACATTCAAATGTCTCTTATCCGGGCGCCTTGGGACCGGGTACTGCCCGTATCTCAGATTTGCCCGGTTTTCATCTACTGTAAAAGCCTTATATATAACGAAGTGCTAATTCTAACGAGTTAACGAGGAGAAATCTGTCGTTAAAGGGGAAGTTAAGGCAAAAATTAAAATTTCACCAGTTGTAGTCTTCGGGGTGCTGAGTCGAATGGTCTTGGTCCGAGAAAGCTGAGACGCTCCCTTCCTACTTGAATCCCAATCGAACTCGCGCACTTCCACCGAAACTGGGTGACTGCGCCCTACTAGATGGGGATTTGTATGCAAAATGTCACTAAAAGCGCCATTTCGTTCTTATAAAAGCACGGATGACCGCGATTGGCCCATATGTTGTACTCTTTTGGACGCTGAGTCGATTGGTTTTGGTCCGAAAAGGCTGCGATGCAGCGTTCCTCCTTTATTCCCAATCGAACATGGTTGAAGAAGCGGTCACGTGCTCCTGGGTGCCCAAATCACCTGGTCACCACGCCAGCAGGCGACAACTTTCACACCAAGGTTCAACTCGAGTTCAACTCGAGTGACAGGACTGCACCCAAAAAAGGTCAAACAGGCTAGTAAGTTGTACCCTGCAGGCACGGTGACCAGGTGACTGGTGTACGCAGCAGCACGTGACCACTTGTTCGACCATGTTCGATTGGGAATAAAGGAGGAACGCTGCTTCGCAGCCTTTTCGGACCAAAACCAGTCGACTCAGCGTCCAAAAGACTACAACATATGGGCCAATCGCGGTCATCCGTGCTTTTATAAGAACGCAATGGCGCTTTTAGTGACATTTTGCATACAAATCCCCATCTAGTAGGGCGCAGTCACCCAGTTTCGGTGGAAGTGCGCGAGTTCGATTGGGATTCAAGTAGGAAGGAAGCGTCTCACCTTCCTCGGACCAAGACCATTTGACTCAGCACCCCGAAGACTACAACTGGTGAAATTTTAATTTTTGCCTTAACTTCCCCTTTAAAATAGAAAACGTTAGACAGAAATCGATACATATTGTTGCTATTGAGCGTTGAGAATGATTGAGAATCGTTACCTGTGGTACACGTGAACTGGTCGATTTTAGGAAATCGTTATACATGTATATGCGCCTCGTTAGAATAATGGCTTTTACAGTACCATGTATCACATCAGTTTTTGTCTTTTCGATGAAGTTTCTTTGGCATGTATTGCTCATGTTCAGGATAACATAGAAAATTAATGGTAGAATCCACTGATGCACATGTGTAGATTACACAGTGACAAACAAGCACTTGCGCATACGAAAAAAGCTCAAAACCCCTGAAATCAAAGCAATTTTGAATTTGCCGTATAATTTCAAGCTGAAGGTGGCCGGTAGAGAGACGTGTCCGTATCTGAGGCGTCCGGATAAGAGAGGTTTGAGTGTACACTGACTGTGTACTACAGGGGAAGGACAAATGAAATCCAAACTCAGGAACAACGCATAGTTGCTGTCACTGTACAGTCCAATGCTCTCTAGTGCTCGGGCCACATAACCCTCGAGCTCTCGTAACCATGAGGCCTGATTTCGGAGCATCGCTTTTCAATCTTTGCGCCATTCGTGCATTTCTTGCCTTGGGTTGTGTTGATGGCTATGTACTTGTAGCTCCTTGTTGCCTCTGTTGTTGACAGACACTGAATTCATATTGTGATGTGCTAGAATAGTGTCGAACTCGGGCAGGAAAACTCCAAATCTGATACACACTGTGTTGGTGTTGAATTCTGGTGTGCACACAGGCTGGAACTGCTGGTCAAGTCAGTCTGTCAACTTGGTGCATTGCGCTCACCGCCTGTATTTGTGAGTTTTTAGTTTTTGTGATTTTTGTGTGTGTGTGTGTGTGTGTGTGTGTGTGCGTGTGTGTGTGTGTGTGTGTGTGTGTATGTGTGTGTGTGCACGTGCGTATGTGTGTGTGTGCGCGTGTGCGTTCTTGTTTTTCTCTCGGTATGGTCTGCATATAGCTCCTTGTCTTCTGTTCAGTATTTTACTCGAACGTGTGGTTGTTTTTGCTTGTACTGATGTCTGTAGTTCGCATCTTCACCACACTTGTGGAGACTCAAGATAAGATGGGTAAGGTTGGACATGTGTGTACGGGATCAAACAGTGTAGCAGCTAGGCGATGATGTCATTATTTGAGGCGTTTTGTGTTGAGTGCCAAACACCAAGATTTGTACCATATGCAACCCAATCTTCGAGTTGAAAGCAAAAAAACGGACATTCTTCTTATCTGTCAAATTTAAGAGGATTGAGAATTATATCTGGATCGATAAGGCATTCATGATTGCTTGTTTCTACCTGGCCAAGTGTCTTTCGTGAGCACATGCATACCCTGGACATTGCTTGTTGTTGTGATTTGTGTGGTGCAGTTCTGTTCATCCTCGGTGTGGCAACGCTCCTCAACTGTGTTTTGATCGCCTTGATCATCTTCTATCAATACAAAGACCAGCAGCGGGCAAAGCCAGCGCAGCTCAAGAAAGACGAGTAGTGTTCGTACTTTGTAGTAGGTTTCGTTGTCCCAGTTCTCGTGACTCCGTTCTTTGTTTTAGAATCTCTAGTGTGTCCTTATTTGATCAAATATTCATTGAGTACAATGTACTAACGTTAGGGCTCACTTATTGTAGACTTTATCCTAGTTCACCCCATAGCGCTACAGTATCTATTTATGCATTATTTATCCTGTTTCACCCCATAGTGTTGCACTATTTATTTTTCAGTGTTGGGCTGGTCCCTACTGATTTTAGTTTATAGTTTCATACCTGGGCCTTTGCCATCTGAGTACAATGACTTATGCCCTATACATACATAGTATAGCATGATAATGATTGCCTGGTGAGGTGCCGAAGCATCAAGAACAATCATGAATGTCAGATAATGTACTCGTCTTGTTTTCTGCCATCGAATGGTCGGTTCATGATGCCCGAATGGTTCACGGTGGGACTTTGTGGGCTGTGCAGCCAATTGCCCGGTCTAGTATGGAGTTTGCATGCATAGCCAGCCTGTCACCGAGGCACGCGTGCGACGATAATACACTTTTGTGGGCACTGACTGCGAATGACATTGGCGGTTGGTTCTGAAGATGTGCACTTGTATATTTGAGGTCTTCCAGGCAATGAGCGGTGCATTGGTTATAGCAAGAGTACATAAACCCTTGGTTATCAATGTGCTCTTGTCTTGACCAACAGAACTGCACAGCCTTCTCCATGCATCTATCAGGCACAAGTACAGTCTGTGTAGCTAAAACACCATGACGACATATTCAGCATTTTTTTGAATTTTCAAAAGTAAATGTGACGAAAAATAGCATTGCTGAGTGCAGGCAAAGCATGCAGCCGGCTTGGGAAATGTGCTTTTAGGTCGGTCTACATAATTTTTGTAGCTACATGTAGTCGTACATTGTTTTTGTCCACATCTGTGTAAATAGCAATTCGTCCTTGCAGAGACTGACGCACAGGCGACTACCACAATGGATTTGCTTGCAGTCAGCAAACTTCTGGGCATTGTGACCATCGTCATGTGCTCTGTTATGAAATTGCCACAACTTTGGCTGATATTCAGGAGCAAGAAAGCACGGGGTATCAGTCTGTCCAGTTTGTCATTGGAATTATTCTGGTTAGTCTTGCAGGCTAACGGGCAGTTACTAAACATGCGTGTACACGAGTGTTTGTATACACGTGTTTAGTTTTGTATTATTTGCGACCATCGTAATCATGGTATTAGGACAATGGCAATGTATATTACTTGTACACATGTCCAATGTGTACACAATATACACGTGTATATTTGACATCGAAGTATGCCAAGCCTTTTGTACAACCCCCAGCTTATTTCAGAAACTACTGGAGAATAGGGATGTTTTGCTCTACGTAATTACGTATGAAAATCCGCATGTCGTACGTGCCGGGAAGCATGGGCAACTTTCATACGTAAATCTCTCTACGTATTTCCGTAGGAAGCGCTTTCCTGTGTTGGGTCCTCCATAGGATTTTTTGAAATATTTTTCGCTTTTCCGGATTTATCCATGGCCACGTTCAAGCCACGCGAAACACAAGGTACACACATGTGGAAAACGAAATAGAGAACATGTTTTAGGTTCGTGGTTCATACGGTGGGCCGACGCATCTCCAACGCAACAACTTGAACAAGGCACATGATACTTAGCAGCCATGGAGAGATCACGTGGAGCAAAACCCAACAGCAGGGATTTTCATGTATGAAAATTACGTGCGGTTCCTGCGTTATTTTTCATACATACCAGGGATGAATTTACTGTCACGTTTTTGCATAGCAGTTTTTGCTATGCAAAATCTCAATTGTGGCGTAAGCTACAAAAAGCATGGATCGCCTGTACATGTATGTATGGCAGTTTTCTGCGTGTCACTGTGATTTTTGAGTAGCAGTAGACCGATTTTGCGTAGCAAACTGCGATGCGATACAGGATAAATTCATCCCTGCATACTTAGAGCGAAACCTCTCTCATGACCAGTCTGGAGCACGTCTGAAACCACACCCAGCCAATAATACTTTCTCTCTCTCTCTCTCTCTCCTCTCTCTCTCTCTCTCTCTCTCTCTCTCTCTCTCTCTCTCTCTCTCTCTCTCTCTCTCTCTCTCTCTCTCTCTCCCTCCCTCCCTTCTCGAATGGCTGCAGTTACACAGTCGGTTCCCTGTATGGCTTTCGCAGTGGCTATCCGTTGACAACGTATGGAGAGTCTGTGCTGCTTCTTGTACAAAGTAAGGTGTGTAGGATAGGAACACACACACACACACACACACACACACACACACACACACACACACACACACACACACACACACACACACACCATGTACCATGTATACGCCCGTCGCAAGAGAAGCACGCGAATCTGCAAATGCACTTGATGTGCACCCACAGATTTTCTCTTATAGCAACGATAGCGAACAAGATCTGAATGAGACCGATCAAGACTTGCACCAGATAACTGGCTAATCCACATAACTGGCGAAGGCATGTGAATCGACCACCAATGCACACCTGGTCTACACCACACAGAGTACATCGGCGTAAAACGGCCAAGACAGCCACCTATGCACACCCTACACTTGCTGGGGTAACCAGTATAGACAGCACGCTGCTTTGATAGAAGCAGACACTAGATGCACTGGTACCTTGAAGTGAAATTGGAGTTACTTTAACAACCAGCCTCGGCTACTGAGTACTGGGAACCCAGAGCCAACAGACATACCAACAACCTCAGCCATGAAAGCTATTTTAGTAACGACACACTGGATTGTGGAGCCGAACCTAGTCCAACTTCCAAATGCTTTGGCAAGAAGGTAGCCTTCCGACAGGTTGGACCCCCCCCCCCCACACACACACACGCACGCACACACACACGCACGCACACACACACGCACACACCGGGCACCCTGTGTACCAACTTTGTATCTTCAGCCATATGCACAAGTAGCGTTATATACTGTCTCAATGGCAAAAGTCTGTGGCGACTCACGAGTAAACTGTTTGGAGTTTGTGTTCGTGTGCAAGCTGGATTTCAGCATATACCGGTAGTCATGTATTGTATTTGCTTGATGGAGTTTGACAAGTATCTAGAATGGCAGTGTGGACTGGTCTGGCTGTAGGCTTGTTGGGGTTGGTGTACTATCCCTGTTTACTAGGGAATGTTCTGGTTGCTTGGTGTTCTTATTGAATTCTTCTGCTTGTGTGTGTGTGTGTGCGTGTGTGTGTGTGTGTGTACGTGTGTGTGCGTGTGTGTGTGTGTGTGTGTGTGTGTCTGTGTCTGTGCATGGTGTGCGTGCATTGTGTGTGCGCGTGCATGCATGTTTGTTTGTGCGTTTCCTCTCCGTTAGATGCTGGTCTTCACGCACTTGTGATATACTATGAAGGAATGATGTCTCAACTGATTGCTTTCGTAGCTCTTTCGTATCCTCTCTCATGCTCTCTCTCTCTCTCACACACACACACACACACACACACACACACACACACACACACACACACACACACACACACACACACATAAAAAACACACACGCACCTTTTGACGCCTATCACTGGAGGCGATGATAGCGATGCTACGATATACAGACCTGTCTGTGATACGGGCCTGTATTGACAATTTGTGCGATGGGCTCATGTCCCTAGAGGGTTTTCGATCACATCATGACTGTAGGCAGGACGAGAACGTGTTAAATTGTCAGCATCATGTCAAGGCACACTGGATTGTTCTCCTTGACTGCAGCGCACACTCTGTTCTTACCGGCAGATATGTTGTATGTGTCACTGTCACCGTGTCTGGAATTCTACCGCTAACCGCTCTCCAGCTGATTTTCGTAAGTGTGCGTTTGGCTACACTACTGTTAACTGCTTAATGTTCGCTATTTTCGCGAGAAGGCCATAACGCGTATATTAACCACCACGAAATCAAACTTCAACACTGGGTGTATGTGTGTGACCACAGTGGTCCATAGACGTTTGCCGTCGTGAACTCGCTGATTCTGAGAAATCACGAAAATTTAGTGACACGGATATTTTAGGGGTGTCCGCCGTTGGGCGGCTCAATAGCCTATTGAGTCATCTTTTCGAGATTCCTTTTGAATCTCTCTCTCCCCTCTTCCGGGAGACCCACATTGCCGTATTGGGAAGTGAGCAAGTACAATGCGTGTGTGTGTGTGTGTGTGTGTGTGTGTGTGTGTGTATGTGCATGTATGTGCATGTACGTGTGTGCATTGGCATGTTCGCTTGGCGTTGCTTTAGTCGTTCCTGTTGCCCATTGTGATAATGAGTAAGGTCCAGCAGATCCGGTCGCTAATGTCGGTAAGTATAGTATACTGGTGTGCTGTTAGACTGGGTGCAGCACTGTTCTTGTTCACAGTGTGCTAGTACAGTGCTGCTGCTGCTCTTGCTTCACTGGTTGATTACTGAACATTCCACATACAAACTGAGACATGCCAGTGAACATGGTATTTTCGTTTTTTTTTCTGAAGGAGATTTTGAACGGTCTCTGCTTGGATGAGAGCTACACCATAGTGCGGTGGTTAGAGCATCACTGGCCTTAAGCAAAGCCCCCCCCCCCCCCCTGGTTCGAGTCCTGATGGTGGCAGTCAATTTTTTCTTCAGACTTTTCCCGTTTGCATCTTTCCCTCAAACCAAGGACTCTTTTTTATTATTGTTGAGTACGAAAAGGACGACGACATATTCTCCAGACATTACAATGGACAACGGGAACAGGTTAGGTCGAACAACATTTATTAGGGAGACGGAGAGACAGAGACCAAGACGAACGAAACGACTACATTGTGGAGGAGAGACAAGAGAGAGAGGGAGAGAGAGAGAGAGAGAGAGAGAGAGAGAGAGAGAGAGAGAGAGAGAGAGAGAGAGAGAGAGAGAGAGAGAGAGAGAGAGAGAGAGAGAGAGAGAGAAAGAGATCAAGTGTGAACGGCAAGATAAAGGGCCTGGGTAGCTATGGCAAATATGGGCGCGCAATTAGCTACCCAGGCCAACGGAGCAAAAGGTGACAAAAGGAGACAAAAGGTGAGTACGACGTAGTATGGGGTGCTAGGCCAGCTTGGAAAAGGTTGTACGGGAGGAGGTACCTAACATTATGAACATATCCACATGTTAGCCCGTGTGTACAAGGGAAGAAGGTTAGGGTGATGGATGAAGATGGGTCCATTCTTTCACAATTGTGTTATTAGATCAATCCACCGGGTCCGGTTTTGGGCTATCTCTCTGAGGGCTTACAAGTCATCTGTGGTCCGGAGTGTACATAGTTGTGTCTTGTTTTTGTTGCAGGACCAGCTGAAGCAGTGTTTGATTGGTCCGGCCATGCCCTTAGCCTTTCATACAGTTTGTGTGTGACATGGAGGGTATACACGTAACCTCATCAGCAGTAAACGCACGTTGGTAGCCAAAAAGTTGGTCCGGTCATGGCTTGACCAACCAGACTGGCTCCGCCAGGCCTGTGTTGCTATGGAACCCCAAACCCTGGCTTCAACGGCATGTCATCAAGCAGTTATTGTGGGCAAGCGGGAGCCGCGTTTGACCTGTCATGAGTACTGCACGGGGCCCTAGCACCCAGTCAGGCCATGGTCGGACCTTATTTCGAAAAAAAAGTTGACCCACCCAGTTCGCGCCAAAGGAGGTTTTCGTCAAAACTGTAATTTTCTGATCGAGTATCCCATTTGTCCGGACGGCCTGAATTCCCAGTGCTACGACCCTACACTGCCAGTACAGTAAACACCTGGTTTAAGCGACCACCCCACGGTGCAAGCAAAAGCGGTCGTTAAAGCCAGGTGGTCTTTAGAACCAGGTCCCACAGTGTCTGTGTAGAACTGTCGGCAAGAGTACATGAAAACCAGAGTGTGCAGCTTGCGGCTTTTTCTACTATGGGTGTCTGTCACGGCGGAATTCCGTGATTACATCATATTTGGCGCAGATCTGAGGTGGCAAATGGAGTAGTGCGTACAACTGAGCTGCAGTTGTGCAGAAAGAGACCTGCTTGAATCCTGCCTGTACGCACTACATTGTACATCACTAAAATGATGTAATCACGGAATTCCGCCGTGACAGCAACCCATCCGAGCTGCGCACTCTGGTGTTCCTGTACTCTTGCTGTCGGCGCATGGAAAGACGGTCATTACGTGCAGGTGGTCGCTAAACCCAGAGATCGCTTACAACAGGTAACCACCAAGAGGATGCTTCTACTGCTCAAGATACAAGAGCTCTTGGTAGTCAACAGAAAGCGTTGTTTAGCTGGATTTTTCTTGCGCTTCTTGTTGCATACATCTTCACGTTCTTACTCCTTCACAGGCTGGAACTGCTGGTCAAGTCAGCCTGTCGACTTGGTGCATTGCGCTCACCGGTTGTATTTGTGAGTTGCCCTCTTTCTATGGTTGTACGTGTGTGTGTGCGTGTGTGTGTGTGTGTGTGTGTGTGTGTGTGTGTGTGTGTGTGTGTGTGTGTGTGTGCGTTTGTCAAAACTGGGGAAGGCAAACAAAGAGTAGGGTCTCGCTGGCCGAAATCCAGTTCTTGAAAAAGATACTTGGTGAAGTAACAGCATGGTAAATATTGGTGGTCCATTTTAATATCCAAATTAGGAAGTCAGGAACATTGACTCACAATTCAGAATGCAAAACGGCTTGTTTTAAGTTGAAGCTTTTAACCTTGAGTTGCTGATTGTGACCTTCCAACCTGCAGCCGTGTGCGACTATCATGGTACATGACTTTTTTTTATATTATTGTCTTGTTCGCTTACCCATCAGAACTATGTCACAGTGAGTGATATCATAAAGTGTCTCCGATCATTTTGTTTCATTACCCGGTACACGTAGTGAGATAACGTGTGTTGTCCGCTTGCTTGTGCTTCCCCTCACAGTCCGCATCTTCACTACACTCGTGGAAACCCAGGATAAGATGGGTAAGGCTGGACGCTTGCAATGGCGTGTGCGCTAGGGCAATGCTAGTACAGCGCTGCTCATTGAAATCCAGTCGCATCACTCAAGTACGCGCCGGTTGTTGCACAGCCTTAGATCTGCGAACACTGGGCTGCGGAGTGATGCAAGGGGCAAACTCAAGTGACGTGGCTGGATTTCATTGAGCAAGACTGTAATTGAAAGTGTTACTCACCTATCCATTGGGTGCTTGGTCTGCATCAGGCAAATACTACGCCCAGTTTTGGTTGAAATGAACGGCTCGGTAACATACTGTGGGCTGATGCATGATCCGAAAACCTGTATCTATGTCGGTGAAGTGTCAATTGCCGATAGTTGATGAACACACTCTCTTGTGCCGTTTGTTTGTTTCAGTGCTGGCAAACTTCTGTGTGGGAACGGTTCTGAACGGTGTTGTCGTCGCTATGATCATTCTCTACCAATACAGAGATGCACAATGGGAGAGAACACGGCACGTCAAGAAATCTGAGTAGGGCTTTCAAAAAGAAATCTAATGTTACCTCCCCCCTATCCTGGACTCGTCTCAGCCATGTCTAGATTACTACTTTTGCTGTATATTATTAACATTTCATAGTTGATTACATGATCGGTGAGCCAGTGTTGCTCACAAGCCAATTTTAGTTGATTACAATCGATTGTACTATTATGAAAGACAACGGGTCCAAGTGGAGTATGCTGTAGATCTTTTTATTAGTTTCAATTACAAGCTACAGTTGATTTTATAATTATAACTTATTTTCAGTTATCCACCGACCCTTATCATGGCCATGCATTTTTAGCATTACCCTGGATAGCAAGAGCGCGGCCATCTTCCGCCGTCTGCGAGAGGACCCTTTGCCACCTAACACTGTGCACCATGAGCCTCTATAAAAAATGGCGGGTTTACTCTGCCATCTGCCATAGTTCAGTACACGTACATGTTGCCAAGTACATCATAGGGTATTGTGTTTTATTGTTGACCTTGCGCCAGCAAAGCTGCCTGCATCTAACTTTATTTTCATTTATTTTCTTCTGGGGCTGGCCCCTATGCCCAGTTGATTCTGTGTTCCTTTGCCATGCTAGACTAAGACTAAGAGTATACAGTACTCGACTACTTGTAATTGTAGTATGATTGTACTGTAGCGGACATGGAAATCCAGTCGATTGGCCGGGGCTGGTGCCCTCAGCGCTTGCAGAATGCTGCGTGCAGTGCACATGTTCAATGATGTTGATCCGATGCGCGCGCGACCAGCGCGCTGCAGCGCACAAATGCATGTGTGCACCGCTAATATCCACGGCTGCATGGCCAGCGCCCTGGGACCGCTAGATGTGCGACCGGATTTC